AACAGATCGATGCTGTCGAAGATAAAACAACTTTAAAGGAATCAGTGGATGTGCTTAAACTGCAAGGAAAAGATAGGGAAATCATGCAGTTACTACAACAAGGCCGGTATAAGGACTATACAATAACAAAACATGCAAATGGACCTATCCTGGCACAAGAAATGGTGTCAGATCAACCGACGGGAAATTCACTTGTGGTAATGCCCACTATATTATGTCAAAAACTGATAGAGTTAGCGCATGCGCAAGGTCATTTTGAAGCAGATAAAACTGTAAGCCGGATTAAGAATATTGCATGGTGGCCTCGACTATGGGCAGATGTCGAGCATTACGTCAATAACTGCCTGCAGTGTGCCCAGAACAATCCTATGGCATGAAATAATCAAATTCCACTCAAACATCAAGCAATCAATGGACCTTGGCACAGACTTCAAATTGATCTTATTGGTCCATTGCCTAGGATGAGTCGAGGAAATGAAACTGCCTTGTAATTGTCGATTCGTTTACGAAGTGGATAGAGGCCATACCAACAAGAAATTGCACTGCAAAGAATACCGCTCGCATGTTGCTAAACAAAGTGTTTTCTCGATACGGCTTACCCTCCATTATAGATAGTGACCAAGGACCACATTTTACTGCTGAGATCACAAAACAACTGTGTGTTGCATTAGGAATAAAACAATTATTCCATATCGCAGGCCACCCACAAGCGTCAGGGTTGGTTGAACGAACAAATGGAACATTAAAAACTGCATTAAGAAAGGTCGTGGAGACATCTGACAAGCAGTGGGACGCACAACTCCCGCTTATTCTCATGGCTACCAGATCCACCGTGGGCTCCGCTGGGTATTCACCACATGAAATACTCTTTGGTAGACCCATGAAAACTCCTGAACTTTGGTAGATCGAAGGAGGGGTGCCTCCTGATGACTTCCAACCGAAAGTCAAGGTAGCAGAGAATCTTAAGCAGTTATTAAACAACTTGTCCGATATTCAACACACAGTTGCGCTAACGTTAAAGGGCAACATTTGCAAAATGGACAAAAGTCTTGGAGATGATTTTAAAATCCACGAATGGGATGTCAGAAACAAAGTTCTTTACCGACATTATAGCGAAAAGAGCCACCCGTTAAGTCCTCGATGGATGGGACCCTGTTATATAGTCAACAAAGCAGGACCCACCGTTAACAGCTTGAAATTAACACACCAAGAGGAGAAAGATCTTGAAATGGTTTCACATCTCTCAGTTAAAAGAATGGGAGACCCTGACATCAGCCAGGCAGGACAAAGGTGGAAGGCAGGGGCAATCTCAGAGATATGCCCCCATGTGACTTTGTGGGAAGCTGTCCCAAAGAGGTGGGGCTAGAATTGCTCTGAGACTGATCCCCTCTTGCGGTGACCTGAGACATCTGCTGGGACCTCTCAACCTCCCACTTCTTAGAGTTTTGATGCTAAGCAGCCAAAAGGGGACTATTGATAGGGAGTTTTCTCAAATGTGACCCATGACTGTCTCTTTCTTTGCAGGTTCTGCACAAGGGCTTGTCTGATCTCAGGCATGCCATGCTGGGCAACCTGCTGGCAGAGTCCCCAGACACAGACTCTAATACATCTTGGAGGTGAGCATGATAAGGATGGGCAGAGAACAATGTTACCTTAGCGCTTGAGAGGAACTAGAAAAGGGAAACTGGAAATCCATTTTTCTGCCTGTCCTTCTAGTCTGCACCCCACTGGACCATCTTTGGTCAGGGCAGTGCTATGTTGGGCCCTTCCTCCTTCAGGGCCAGGGGAAGGAGATGGAACTTCAAGTCAGGGCCATAGACAGCTATGGAGTAAGAGCCTCAAATCTCTCACCCATTATCTTACCTACCCTGCTCCCGCCACGAGATTCAGATGGCTGGTGCTCACAGAAGAATCAGACTCCTTCCTAGAAAACCAGAAGGGCCCAAAGGGAGTCAGCTCTTCTCTTCTACCAGCACTGAGATTCATGGGGGAGGGAGGAGAAATTGGACTTTCAAGCCAGTGAAGGACAAGGGGTCTGTCTCCATCCTGAGGAGCTATTCAAGAATCAGGAGTTCAGAAAGGTTAGGAGCGGCCCAGACACTGAACATTGTCCCAGTCTGGAGAGAAAAAGACATATTGTGACAATCTCCTTCTCAAGCTCCATGATCAATGAATCAGATATTCCACCCTGAGCATGTCTCAGTTCTGGGGATGGACTCATTTGCACAGCATGCACATCTGTCTATGGAGTCTGACCTTTCTCCTTCCCCCACAGTATGTCAATTTCTGCATCGGGTCCAGAGTGTCCCAGGAGAAAGCCAAAGTCATACAGAGCAGCAGAGCCCCATTTTTGATTCACCATCCCTGAATCATTCCTGAACTTGGCATGACCTCTGAGCCTTGCTCCCTGACTCCAGGTGTAGGCAGGCTGGCTACAACAGGCTGTAAGGTCTGCAGCTGCAGCAGCTGTGGATTGGAAGTGTTCCCCTTGGTAAGGCAAAGTCAGAGCAGGGAATGAGATAGACTTGAGTCAATGAAGTCTGTTCATTGAAGATCCTGGAACTTTAAGGGTACCATGTTCCAACCCCTGATCCAGGCAGGTTTATACCTGGCCTTAGGTACTTTCTTGTACTCTTGAAGTAGCAGGGAATGCAAGCCATCATGGGGGGCCCTGCCCACACCCCTTTGCTCCAGAATCCCTTGTGCAGCAGAAGCTGAGGGTCTAGCTCTAGCTCCTCTCCCCCAGTGTCTCCCACAAAGTGACATGGGGAAGAAAGACTAGAGTCCTTGAGCACAGGGGAGATTGGGACCTGACAATACTGATGGAGCCCCCCCTCTCCTTCCCAAACTAGGGAACTTGATGGCTTAGCTGCAACCTTCCACCAGTGACCCAGCCAAGGACATCAGCCAACTAGCTAGCAAAGGGATTTAATTACATCTACAAATTGCCAGAGGTAAGGAAACCCAGCTGGGAAATGGGTCGCAATAGAAAAGTGACACTGACAGAAGCCAGGCAATGGGACTCAAGAAGAAATGATCCCCTTCCCATCTGAGACAGTCCCCCATTGGGTAATGGGAAACCTATTGAAACTCACCAAATCCTCTGAGATGGTCCCCAGCTGGCAGATTAGTCTGTCTCTCTCCTTTCCCCCTACTCCATTTAGGATCAACCCTCCCTCCCAGGCACCAACTCCATCCATAGGGAGCTCTGCTATTCTGTGGGGCCAGAGATGCAAACCAATGGGAATGGAAGAATACAGTCACCAAAACCAGAAAGAGAAATCTGACAATGAGAAGCTGCAATGGAACAGTTGTCATAGGGATACATAGGGAATGGAGCCAGGAGCTTCTCCTACAATGGAGTGGAGGGGGGCATGGCACTGGAGGTCACTAGAGAGGAAGACAAATTCATCCCAGGGTTCTAGTTGCCATTAATCCTCCCTGATTCCTGGGGGTATCCAAGTCTCTGGAACACATTTGTTCTCTTGAGGCTGGAGGACATCGCGACCATGGTGATGAGCACCCTCCTCCCTATTTGATACTGTCACCATGTGCCTGAGGGCTCTGCAGGGGCTGCACCTTTTAAGGTGCCTCTGATAGGATGTAGAACCGCACACTGGACCAGGAGAGATTAGAGATCCCATTGGGATCTGCCCCCACCACCTCTGCAGAACCTGCTCCAGGTAGAGGAGGATTTTCAAAAGGAGCCTCTTAAGGGGTGTATGTTCCCATACGCTAGTGCAGAAACCAAGGTTAATGCAGGTACTGTCAGCACTGCTGACTGGCAGACTAAGAGCAGCTGGGAGGATCAAAGGGCTGGGAAACAGACTGGAAGGGCTTCTAAAGAGTGAGCAGGCAGAAGAAAAGAACTGCTGTCAGCAGACTGCTAGAGAGCCATCCAGGAAAAGCCGCTGGCTCCCAGCAAGGGGCAAAGAAGTCAACAGACAATATCCCTTGACAGACCTGAGCATAGAGTGGATTTCCAGACTCCGGGGCATGGGGAGTGGACTGACAGCCCCACTGAGCTGAGTGAGCCAGAGTCACACCCTCCCCCCATTTGGCCAGGGGATACACTGATACGCCACCTCCCAGAGCCAGACAGCTCCAAAAGAGAAGACAAAAGATAATAAAAGACTGACTTGGGGAAATGCTGAAGGAGGATGCAGGAGGAATCCTGGCTGCAGGAGACATTCTGCTTGTTGCAGCTGCCCTAGACCTGTGAGCAGAGGTTAGCCTTTGCCTAAAACTACAGAACCCTTTGCTCTAACATCTGGAGGATCCTGGGTGAGGCATGTGGCCATATGCCCAGTGGAGTGGAAAGGCCTAGGCTCCCACACTAACTCATTTCATGGAGGGGACCCAGACCACTTTTCCCTTCATTGGGGAGACATTCTGCTTGTTGCAGCTGCCCTAGACCTGTGAGCAGAGGTTAGCCTTTGCCTAAAACTACAGAACCCTTTGCTCTAACATCTGGAGGATCCTGGGTGAGGCATGTGGCCATATGCCCAGTGGAGTGGAAAGGCCTAGGCTCCCACACTAACTCATTTCATGGAGGGGACCCAGACCACTTTTCCCTTCATTGGGGAGAAGAGGGTAAAGACATGATAAGCCCTGAGTTGTTCACAGGAATGAAGGGTGTGTGTGCGCTGCAGACCATTTCTTTTGTGAGACATTAGACCAGGGGTGGGCGATAATTTTTGATGTGGGGGGCCACTCCAAGATTTTGGAAAGTGGTTGAGCGCTGCATTCTTCCATGATATTGATGGAGGAGATGCAGGGTCTGGGATGGAGGTTGGGAGACTGGAGTATGGGATGGAGTTGGGATGAAGCAGGCGATTGTGACCTAGGGCAGGGGACTGGGGTTTGGGATGTGACCTAGGGTAGGATGGAATTGTGATCTGGGGCAGGAGACTGAGGTGCCAGATCTGGGAGGGGTATAGGTGTAAGAGGGGGACAGAGGGTTTGGGTATATTGAGTGGGGGGGGGGGGGGAGCGTAGCCAAGAGACTTACTTGCCAGTTGCCAAACTAGCCTGACTGCCTGCAGACTTAAAATGTCTCCCAGACTGCCTGCCTGGCTATGTGCTTTATGAATAACTAAGCCAAGGATAGGGAGTGGGGTTCTTCTTGGCTGCCTGTTACTCCAACAAGCAGCTCACATTGGCTGGTTATACTGGGGGCAGGGTGGCTCTTCAAACTTCCTTCCTTCCCTCCAGTTTTAAAACAGAAACGGAGCCCTGCATGGTGCACAGGGCTGCTAGGCTAGCTGGGGAGCCTGCCTGGGGCTCCCCGCTGCCTCCTCAGGCTGGATTTGATGGCTTGGCAGGCCAGATCCAGTCCATGGACCATATTTCGCCCAGGCATGCATTAGACTGTACATTATTACACCCTGTTAATCTGGAACTCAATTGGTGAACTGGATGGAGGGCCCAGGACTCAGATACCCATCACTCAGACTAGTTGATCCCACACCTCCTCTTATCCCCCTGGAGTTACTATATGAGAGGCAGATTCACAGGATCCTAGATCTCTTCCATAAGGTATGGGAGGAGCCAGGCCTAGGAACAACCAAGTGGTACAACGTATGTTCTGTCAGAGGGAAAACTTGGAGCTGCGGCAGGCTTTGTTGTGGGAGAACATATTGAAATCTCAGAACCAGGAACAGGCTGACAAAAATGGGCCAGAATGTAAAAATGTAAACCCAGCAAAAGGGTTTGCTGTTGCTGCCCTTGAAGTCAAAATGCTGGCCAAGTGGCAAGGATCATTCAAAGTTATAAATAGGGCAAGGGCAATTGGTGATGAAATCCACCATCCTGGGAAAAGAAACGAGACAGAAGCTATACTACACGGACCTACTGAAGACTTGAAAAGACCAAGGCCTCCTCATCATGCCTTTTTCATCAGTTGGGCTGCCAGCACCTTTAATCCATGATGCTAGAAAGAAAAGAAACAGCATATACAATTAATTGAAGGCCTCCCTTTGGTGTTCATAGCATTGGAAGAACAGTTCAACAGAGTCTACCATCAAGTGTAGACCATTATGGGGGAAAAAGGTCCCTGAGAATCTGAGAACCCTATCAATTTCACAGCTGTGAAAAATGTGTCACGGACTATGAAATCTATCCTGCATTTTGAAATCTGATCTCCCCATGGTGCTAGGAGCCCGGGGCACCCAGCTGCTCATCTGTCCAGGCTGGGGAAGGACAGGAGCCATCTTGAGAGGCAGTGCAGAAATGAGGGTGGACCCTAATTTAGCCCTGTGCTGATGGCTGCACAAAAGAGAAGATGGCTTTTTTGGTACCCCCTCCCCACAACAACTTTGCAAACTCTCCGCTCCCCCACAATCCTATTTTGGGTCAGGACCCACATGGTTAGAACACTATAAAATTTCAGATATAAACATCTGAAATTGTGAAATTGACCAACTTGGAGAACCTTTGACCGTGAAATTGACAAGAATGCATGGTAAATTTGGTAGGGTCCTATCTATGACCTATTCCATGGAAGTTGTGGGAAATGGTTTGCCAGAAACTTTTGGCCCTGTTGGATCTCAGGTCTTTGGGGAATCCCCAAGTGCCGCCTTTCTCCAGCTGGGGCTCCCAATCCAAAAGGGGGTCAAAGGCTAATGTGTGGGGTTATGAGTAGGGTCACTGGCTGTCTATGTTTTCCCAGACATGATCTCTTTTTTGGTCCTCAAATCTTCCTCCAGGCAGACTTTAGAAATATTAATGTCTGTGATTTTTCCTGGCCTTCCAAGCTGGGTGGCTGCAGAGCAGCAGCCACTGTCTGGGCACCCAGTTTGGATGGCAGTCCCACTGCCAGCAGTAGCACAGAAGGAAGGGTGGCATGTTATGGTATTGCCACTCTTCCTTCTGCACTGCTGCTGGTGGTGGTACTGCCTGCTGGTGGTGGCACCAGCGCAGTGACCCCGACGTAGGTGTGTGCAGGGGGTGTGTCAGGTGTGCCCAGGCACACCCTAATGTCTCAAAAAAAAGTGGCTTTGCATTTTAATTTAATCACATGATATGCTCTTTTAGTTTTAAAGTATGGATTGTTGTATTATGCAGGTCATGTCCAGGAAAACCCAGATGCACGGTTTGCCTGTCAAACATCAGCATCCCTTGTAGAGTCCAGATTATCCGACCTTTGGTAATCCGACACTCCGCTTTATCTGACCCTGCAGCTCCCGGGGACAAAGCGGCACTGACAGGAGCGGCACCAGCGGCTCCAGGGCGCAGGCCGGGAGAATGGCCCCGCTCACTGCCCCGTCGCTCTCCTGGGGCCGCTGATGCCGCTCCTGCCGACGCCGCTTCGTCCTGGGAGCTGCAGGCATCAGCGGCTCCAGGAGAGTGACAGGGCAGCAAGCGGGGCCATTCTCCCGGCCTGCGCCCTGGAGCCGCTGATGCTGCCCGTGCCGGCATCGCTTCGTCCCCAGGAGCTGCAGGGTCAGATAAAGCGCAGGTGGGAGAATGGCCCCGCTCACTGCCCCGTCGCTCTCCTGGGGCCGCTGATGCCGCTCCTGCCGACGCCGCTTCGTCCTGGGAGCTGCAGGCATCAGCGGCTCCAGGAGAGTGACAGGGCAGCAAGCGGGGCCATTCTCCCGGCCTGCGCCCTGGAGCCGCTGATGCTGCCCGTGCCGGCATCGCTTCGTCCCCAGGAGCTGCAGGGTCAGATAAAGCGCAGGTGGGAGAATGGCCCCGCTCACTGCCCCGTCGCTCTCCTGGGGCCGCTGATGCCGCTCCTGCCGACGCCGCTTCGTCCTGGGAGCTGCAGGCATCAGCGGCTCCAGGAGAGTGACAGGGCAGCAAGCGGGGCCATTCTCCCGGCCTGCGCCCTGGAGCCGCTGATGCTGCCCGTGCCGGCATCGCTTCGTCCCCAGGAGCTGCAGGGTCAGATAAAGCGCAGGTGGGAGAATGGCCCCGCTCACTGCCCCGTCGCTCTCCTGGGGCCGCTGATGCCGCTCCTGCCGACGCCGCTTCGTCCTGGGAGCTGCAGGCATCAGCGGCTCCAGGAGAGTGACAGGGCAGCAAGCGGGGCCATTCTCCCGGCCTGCGCCCTGGAGCCGCTGATGCCTGCAGCTCCCGGGACGAAGCAGCGCCGGCAGGAGCGGCATCAGCGGCCCCAGGAGAGCGATGGGGCAGCGAGCGGGGCTGGGCGCCTGGGAGCTGCAGGGAGGGAAGGGGTCAGGGTCAGGCAGGGACAGGGACAGAATATATACAGTAGAGTCCCTATCATCTGACATATTCGGTAATCCGACCACGTGTCGGTCCCGTTTAGGCCGGATAATTGGGACTCTACCGTAATAAAAGGTCACATACTTCTTTGTACAAAAAAACTTATTACTTACCCAGAGAATAAAAATACTGTGTCTACATGCCACTTGTATCAGCCAGAATGTATACAGCCTTCTACTAACTCTGTAGTCTCTTGCTGCCTGCTGCCTCTTCCTTAATTTCCTGGAATAGCAAAAAATGAAACTTAGCCTCTGAGAGAAGCACAGCCAAACTCAGGTGGACCAACATCAGAAGTCAAATAAAAAAAAATCATGAGACACTTAAAATAATGAAATTTTTTTTAAAAATTAAAAAATCATTTTGGGTCTTTGTATGTGTCTTTGTTTTCTGAGCCTTGAGGACACACTCGGGTCATGTTTTTGGCCTTTTCTCTGCAAACCTGAGTTCTTGAAACACTTTTTACATGAAAGCTGAGGATGTGTCTACACTCCAGAGCCTATGGAGACACAGCTGTGCCTGCATAGCCCCCAACCTTAGATGCAGCCAACATGCACAGAAGTTTTTCTATTGGCACATCACCTCCACTTCCTCCTTAGACTCATAGTCAGAATCAGTAGTCAGAGCAGTAGTAATGATGTTAAATTGCAGTTACCTAGCTAATCATATAGTCGATACAATTTATAACAACTATACGATTAGTTGACAGGACCGCTCTGCAGAGTCGCAGCAGGGGTAGCTCCAGGAGCTGACTTGAGCAGCTCTTACTACATTTAAAATGCAGAGGTGCGGCATCCTGGACCAGTGCAAGCCGGGATTACTCAGTCCCAGCTTAGAGTCCAGCAGACCCTGGCTGCCGCAAACGGGCTGGTATTGGAGCAGCCTCTGCTCATGGCAGCCAGGGTTAGCCATGGGCAGGGGCTGCTCTGGCAGCAGCCCCAGTCACCCAGCCCTGGCTGCTATGAACAGAGATTGCTTTGCATCAGACTCCCATATACCCACCCTCCAGCCTCTGATAGAAGCAGCAGGGGGAAGGGACGTGGCATCCTGGAGATGGTGCTGGGAAGAACCTGCTTCTAAGCTGGCTCCCCCCAGCACCAGTTCCTGTTCCCCCCCCCCCCTTTGCTGCTTGGGGGGGCAGGAGAAGCAGAGGCACAGCAGGGAAACAGCACGAGCGGGGACTGAAGCTCGCCCATGTTCCCTGTGACACTTCTGCTTTTGAAATGTAGCAAGAGCCCCATGGGCTCTTCAGTCCCCTCACACCATTTCCCTGCTATGCCTCTGCCACCCGCTGAGACGGTGCTAGGGGGAACCAGCTTTTAAGTCAGCTCCCCCAAGCACTAGCTCCTGCTCCTCCCCTCTTGTTGCCTCTCTCTGATAGAGGCAGAAAGGGGTGGGGAGCAACAAGTCAAGTCACTGCTCGACTATCCAGTAAGCTTATGATTATTGGATAGTTGATGAGTCGACTAGTTGCTTACATCCCTAAGCAGTAGCAGGCAGAGACATGGGTCAGGAAAACCCAGATCAGCTGTTGAGCCAAAAAGGTCTATCTTCTATTTGAGTGTGATACCTCTTGTGCTTCCTTCTCCATATCTCCCTGTGCTAGGCAGTCTCATGCTCAAGCCCTCTGCTGCCACCTACTGCATGGTGGCCAATGGGAGCTGGCAAGTAACTGATATTGGGTGTACTCAGAGCACACCTATGGAATCCGGCCATGCTGGCAATATAAATATTCCCAACCCCAGCCTAATCTGAGAATCCTAATTCTGTGCCTCCTGCATGTCACCTTGAGCAAGGACTCTAAGCAGCTCTGTGATTTCCAATTGGCAAAAACATAGGTGCTCTGGGGACCAGGGCGCCTAAGAGTTTGGGAGGCAACTGAGCAGCAGCTTTGAAAATGGCAGTGGTGCCTACATGCCAGCTTTATGCACCTAAAGAAGAGTTGGCTTTCTGTGTTCCCTCTATGTGCTACACTGGCTCTGTCCAGAGAGCCCAGATACCAGACCTTGATCAAACTGCCTGAGACGACCACAGACTCAGTGCAGCAGCAAAGGCATTCAGTCAGGCTTATTATTGTTAATGAAGCACAGTCCTAGTATATGGTGGGCTCCACAAGGCCACTCCCATGTATGGCTGTTACATTGGACTCAGCCCAGTAAGCTATGGGGCTTTCCATTTTCACTAGGTCAAACAAAGACACCCCTTCTGTGACCAGTTTGTTATTACTGTTATATACAAGTTAAGTACTGCCCCTCTGACATAATAAGTTCATAGAATCATAGAAGGTTAGGTTTGGAAGAGACCTCAGAAGGTCATCTAGTCCAAGCTGCTGCTCAAAGCAGGACCAACCCAACTAAATCATCTCAGCCAGAGCTTTGTCAAGCTGGGCCTTAAAAACCTCTAGGGATGGAGATTCCACCACCCCCTTAAGCAAACCATTCCAGTGCTTCACCACTCTCCTAATGAAATATTTTTTCCTAATATCCAACCTAGATTACACCCACTGCAACTTGAGACAGAACTTCTTGTTCTGTCACCTGCCATCACTGAGAATAGCCTAGCTCCATCCTCTTTACAATTCCATTCAGGTAATTGCAGGCTGCTATCAAATCCTCCCTCACTCTTCTAAAGAAGAAAAAAGTCCAGTTCCCTCCACCTCTCCTCATAAGTAATGTGCCCCAGCCACTAAGAATGTTTGTTGCGCTCCGCTGAACACTCTCCAACTTTCTGTAGTGGAGAGTGGGGAAGAGGATTTGGATGCAATACTCCACATGTGGCCTCACCAGTGCCACACAGAGGGGAATAATCACTTCCCTCAATCTGTTGGCAACGCTCTTATTAATGCAGCCCAATATGCTATTAGCCCTCTTGGCAACAGGGGCATATTATTAACTCATATTTAGCTTTTCATCCACTAACCCCCCAGATCCTTTTCTGCATAACTGCCACTTAGTCATCAGCCTAAGCAGTGAGTGCAGGACATTGTGGTACCTCATCAGATTTCTTTTGTCTCAATTCTCCAATTTGTCTCGGTCACTATGGACTCTATTCCTACCTTCGAGAATATCTACCCCTCCCCCTCAATGTAGTGTCATCTGTGAACATGCCGAGGGTGTAATTCTTTCCATCATCCAGATAATTAAAGAAGATGTTGAATAAAACTGGCCCCAGGACTTACTCCTGGGGCACTCCACTTGATATCGGCTGCCAAATGAACAGCAAGCCATTGATAACTTACTACCCATTGAGCCCAATGATTTAGCCAGCTTTCTAGCCACCTGATAGTCCATTCACCCAATTGCTGGCAAGACTGCTGTTGGAGACAAAATCAAAAGCTTTGCTAAAGTCAAGGTATATTACACTCACCACTTTCCACATATCCACAGAGTCAGTTATTTCATCACAGAAGACAATTAAGTTGATCATGCATGACTTGCCCTTGATGAATCCATGTTGACTTTGTGACCACTTTCCTCTCCATCAAGAGATCTCCATCATGTAAGATCGTCAGTGCTTTTCGGGAAATACTATGCTGCTCCCGTTTGGGCAAGTCTTTTTCCGAAAGACTTTTGCGCAAAAGGGCCAGTGTAAACAGCACAGTAGTGTTTTCCGCAAAAAAGCCCCGATCGCGAAAATGGCGAAAAGCATCCTGCCAATCTAGACGTGCTTTTCCGAAGATGCTTTTAACGGAAAACTTTTCCGTTAAAAGCATTTTCGGAAAATCATGCCAGTGTAGACGTAGCCAGAATGTTTTGCATCAGCAAAACACTTATGGCTAAATTAGGTGTCTCATGAAATAGAAAGGGGCACAAGCTCCAGGTGGTATGAATAAATGAATATTTAGGGCTGATGAATGGAAAAGTTTCTAAACCAAGTATTTTGAAGTGATTATGATCCAAAAACTTAGAAAACATTTCAAAAGTGAACTTTGTGGAAATGCCAGAATCTGGGACTGGAAGACAAGGCATGGATCGCTTGATAATTACCTGTTCTGCTTATTCCCTCTGAAGCATCCGACACTGGTCTCGATCAGAAGACAGGATACAGTGCTAGATGGATCATTGGTATCACACAGTATGACCATTCTTATGTTTTTAAATTTTCAAAACACTAAAACTCTGATTTTTACCAGACAGCACTGGAAAACCCTAGCGTGGAATACAGTATGTTTTCATACTGTATTCCACTGAACTGAAGAGCTAGGTTGTGCCTTTAATGCACATGTTGGAATGTAGAGAGAAGTTGAGTTTCTGTAAGCTGAGATCCTCCACTAACACAATGCTTCCCAAACAATCCCAAATATAATCCTAATGTAACCCTTTACTCCACATTCTTTTTGCAACTTCCCAGTCTTCTCCCTATCCCTCAGATATCCCTGTCCACATATTAACCTACTTACTACAATGCCATTCCTGTCTCTGCCACAGTACATAGGAATTACAGTCACCAGTACTTTTGAGCCTCCCTCCTGTATTCAACCTCCTTAGGTTCCCTACATATTGGATTGTGATGGTTCCTCTGAAGCCCAATATTTTTGGGCCCAATCTTCCATTATAAGAAATGGAATAAAAAAATCATACTGACCTCATTACAAGTTTTGGATGTTGCAGGAAGGCAAAAACAGGATCATTACTGCATCAATTTGTATCGAAGTATCAAATCAAGAATTGACTAGCTCATTATTAATAAGGATGTGATCCTACAAGCCAAGCAGAAAAGTTACCACTCATATGCTGCAGTAAATTTTCATATAACTTTTTCCATTTTACCTCAAAGGCCCTTCCTTTCCTCTAATGAAGTCAGTAATACACTCCTCTAGGCTTTTGTGGGAGCAGGCTCTGTACTCTGATTTATAATGTGAGAGTTCTGAATGTACAGCATGAAAGAACAGGTAAACAGAACATCCTCTGAGACTACAAGGACTGAAGGCTGAGATTTTATGTATGCCCTCATTGTCATTTTACTGATTTCTCTGCTAAAAACATGCTGCCAAACAAGTGTGCAATATTTTATAGATTTTCTATCACTTTATTAATTTGCAAGGATAAATTCAATTTTAGAAGAACTCAGTTGAACTTATTTCACCAAATGTCTGTTTCTCAGTTGAGCAGCACCACTAATTAAAAAGTAACACCAAAAAGTTTTGAGCCACATCATGATCGATGGCCTCCTTTTTAAAACAATCACAACAGATTTTGGCTTCTGTAGTGCCTGACTCTTAAAAGAGCTTGCAGCACTAATAAGCATATGAAATGTAGATGGTTTTTATTATGATATCATTGACACAATAAAAAACTGGTTGCTCAGTTATGGAACATAGCACATTTAAAGTGCTTTGAAAGAACCTAATGGTGTGACATTCCAATAAGTCACATCTACTATAAAAGAGTTAGAACTATGGATGTTAAGAAGCACGTAATTGACTAATCATGTAGTCGATACAATCTGAATTGACTACACAATTAGTCAATAAGGGGAGGTTCTCTGTTCTAGCTTGCACCAGATCCAGGAGCTACCCTCACAGCAGTTGTGCAGTTTAAATGTAGTAGGAGCCAGACAAGCAGACAGCCCGGTATGAACAGCTGCAGTAGAGGTAGCTCCTGAGGCTGGGGCAAGCCGAGACTGAGCAGTCCTGGCTTGTGCTGGCTCTGGGACCACAGCAACTCTGCCTCCCCTGCGCCCACCCAAGCACCGCGGAGACGGTGCTGGGGGGAACCAGTTTTTATGCCTGCTTCCCCGCTTGCTGCCTCTGATACAGAGACAGTGGGGGGTGGGGAGGAACAAGTAGTTGAGTAGTCATCTGACTACTTGATTAGTCACTTACATCTCTATTTAGAACCACTTCTGCAGCAGTAGTCATCGGGTGGCAACCACCTCTTTCAATAAGTGACAATTTAAATGTTTAAGGTTTATTTAATTGGTATGATAAACAGTGGATAGTTTTAATTTGACACATTATACTTCACTTTCTATACTCACCTGCTTACTATCTCTGTGCAGCTTAAAGGGACCAAAGCAAGGGATGTAAAATCCTGTTAAATCAGTTAACTAGTTAAACAGTACATTTAACTGGTTAATGGAATAAGCAGGATACCATGGGTAGAGCGAGGCTGCTAACAGGGCTAGCAGCACCATGGGACTGCTGGCTCCCAGCTCCATAGAGCTCCTGGCCCTGCAGGGCTGCGAGTTAACTGGTTACCGGTAAGCATCACCTGGTAAGGGTGATACTTACCAGGTGACCAGTTACTCATTCACACCCCTAACCAAAACAGTGTCTATTATTAATATAGCAGCACAGATTTTCAGTAATACATTGGAACTAAATTATATTTACTTTTTCAAGGTAGACAGGGAAATGATAATTTTCCTGACTGCTTCCATGGACTTGTATAGGAGCAGGCTCAGATCTTGTTTCTCTTTGACCATTGGCAAAGAACTGATGCAGCAATAATGTCAGTTTGTTAACACTGAACCATCATATTTTGCTGCACATTTCCCAGATGCTGTTACATTTTCTTTTATTAAGTAGGTCACATAATGGCCGTTGATAGGTTTGTATAGAAAATACTTGATTTAAGATAATCTGCCCAAAGACAGGACAGTTATAACAAACATTCCTGGAATCTCCTTCACTAAACTAGCACGTTTGGCCATTTGGCATAGCTAGTGCTTACCTAGAGAATCCTAAAGCATCTATAACTGCCACTGAAGTCAGAGAGCAGTTAGGGAGAGGAATGCATAATAGCTCTTTACTTGTTAGTACGGCTCCAAACAACCAACAATTGTTTCTTATAATTTAGTATTCAAGCTATAGTTCCCCCTGGTGATCCTTTCCATCATTACAGAAAACACTTAAAAAGCGACTGAGACAGTTTTTTTCTGACAGGAGTAGGAAGTAAGTTACAGAAATGTGTGAATAATAGGCAAAGAAACAGGAAAACTCAGCATGCACTTTTATTCTCCAAAGTTAAAGAGAATTGCAAAGCACATATAGTACAAATACTTCTTTCTTTATATAGTCCATTTAATATTCTATAGGCCATACTGGTTAAAAAAAGATCTGGTTTAGGGTGAAAGTGAAGGCAGATACAACAACTTTTTAAAAATATAATAAATTAAATTAAGGGAAAGTTGATAGTACTGAATGTAAATCGGAAGCTCAGACTTGCAGAAATTTGATAAGGAAAGCAAAGGGACACAAGATGAAATTTATGGCAAACTGAGTAAAAGGCAATAGGGAGTTATTTAAGTATATTAGGAACAAACAGACGTCTAACAATGGTGTTAGTTGATTACTACATGGAAATGACAGAATTACCAGTACTAAAGCACAAAAAAGTAGAAGTGTTCAATAAATAATTTTTGTTTTATACTTAGGGTTGGAAATGACAGTCATATAATATGATAACATACTTTCCATTACACTAATATCAAAAGAATATTAAATAGCAACTACAAACAGTTAAACATTTTAGATCAGCAGATCTAAACCATTAACATTAAACAGTTTTTAAAGAACGGGCCATGAGATCACTGGATCACTAATACTCATTTTCAATAAGTTTTAGAACACTGGGGAAGTTCCAGAAACCCGCAAGAAAGCTAATATTGTGCAAAATAAATTAAAAGGATAAACCCAGGTAGTTATAAGCCTGTTGGTCTGATGCCGATCCTAGGCAAGATAATGGAAAGGATGATTCAGTATTTGGTTAATAAAGAATTAAAGCGGGGGGGATATAAATAATGACAATCAACATTGAAAATAGATCCTGTCAAACTAACGATCTCTTTTTTAAATTAAATTACAAGCTTGGTTGATAAAGATAATAGTGTTGATGTAACATACATATACTTCTGTAACATATGAGTTGGTACCAAGTAACATTTTAATTACAAATAGAAATATTTAAAATGAACATGGTATGTTTCTGGTGGGAACCTGTAGAGTGAGTTCTCAACTCTATGCTATTTAACATTTTTATCAATGACCTGGAAAAAAGCATAAAAACATCAAGTTTGCAGATCATACATAAATTAGAGGAGTGATAAATAATGAAGAGGACTGGCAGTGGCCACTGATTCAGCATAATCTGGATCACTTGGTAAACTGAGCTCAAAAAAACAACATGCATTTTAACGTGACTAAATGTACATGTAGGAATGAAGAACATAGGCCAAATTTAAATGGGGGGAACAACTCCTATCGTAGGAAGCAGTGACTCTGAAAAAGATTTTGGAGTCATGGTGGGTATCAAAGTGGGTTTTACCCATGAAAGCTCATGATCCTATATATTTGTTAAGTCTCTAGTGGTCTTGGTTCACTGCCCCCAAAGAAAAAATTGGATGGACTGAGCGGACAAAGCACTTCTCTCTGAAGCCAAGCAAGAGAGGTATGTGGGCTCCACCAGGAGAGATTAATATTTTAAGTAAGAGAGGGAAGGCTCTACAAGAGAGCCTGGACAACTTTAGGTACAATGCCAGGCACAATGGATCCAGATTTGAACAGGAGTTCTCAAGTTTAATTTGGGCTACTGTTACATCATTTCTCCAAAAATCAAATATTGATCCACTGTAATTTGTTGTAGAAAAGTGCTAACTGGGACTGGAGTTGCTATTTTCAACAACCATTACCAGGGTTTTTTTTGTTTTGGGGGAGGGGGGTAGTTTTTAATCTTAACAAAAAAAATACTGCATTGGTGACTTCTCCACAGAAACAGTATGAAACAAAACAACAACAAAGACATTTTGATCTTTTTCTTGTTATGTGGGACAGTCTTACAATATGGATCCAGATATCCTCCAATCAAACTGAAAATTGTTCCACTTTACTGGGTGCTGGAGTAGGGATTTGTCAGAAATTATCAGGAAGCTGCTGGCTGTGGAACTTCGAGCTGAGACCAGGACCACACACAGTGACTGGTGAAATAGGGTGGTCCTGGAGACATGGCTATAGAATGTCTGGATAAGGAAGGAGATAAATCTGTGGGGAGTTTCCCCTGATGTCTGTGAAATTTTTTCTCCCTGTGAACACTGGAAAACCCACATGGATGTACAGCTCAATGAGAAAAACTGTGGGCTGAGGAAGCTGTGTATAGCAGCACATACAATCTTGCAGAGGTGCATGATCAAAATGAAAAATCCCAGTCCTGAAGCTAGGTCTAGCCTACAGTCCTGTGTCAGAAAAAGCTACGCAAATTGTACTCCGCAATTTGCATAGCTTTTTCCAATAACTTTTCCAGAAGAGGCTTTTCCTCCATTTGGTCCCGTCAAGACGGGGCTAAATGGCGGAAAAGCCTCCTCTTTCGAAGGAGCCCTTATTCCTCATAGAATGAGGTATATACCGTGCTCTCTGAAAGAGCATGTTTGCTCTTCAGCAAAAAAAAGTGGAAGAATAAATGTGTTCTCTGGACGCAGCAGAGATTAGACATACCCTGAGACTCAGTACTTTGTATGTCTCTGCCATACCTGGTCCACACTCAGAAGGGGCTGATAACTAAATGAGGGCCCACAAATAATTTGGCACCCGACCACAAAATGTTAATCTGGCTCTAGGGTTGAGGGTCCCTGGACTGGAACCCAGAGTTGAGGGTGAACCTGGATTCTGCTACTCAGCATTGGAAAAGTGGCACCAGCAAGTCAGTGCATGGAAAAACTGCCTGAGTCACTGTGGGAGTGACAGAGGATTTGAAGGACTGAACCCCAGAAGAGAGAAACAGACAGTGAGTGATCTGAGCAAAGAGTGGAGCCACAAAAAGGATGCTGTGATTCCTTTATTGAGAGAGGAGCTGCAGACCAGATATGGAACTGGTGTGATGCAATGCAACATGGGAAGGGGTATTGGCCTCAAGAGCTAATCCCCAGAGTAATCAGAAGCCACCAAACAATGAGTACCCTGTGACAGATGCACAAACTATGGCATCTCAAATAGTTATAGGTTATTTTACCTTTGTATTTGGCACTGATGTGGCAGCTGCTGGAACCCTGTTTTTGACTCCTAATAGGTGTTGATTTGGGATACGGTTCATCTGCCTAAATTCACAGAGAGGTAAACAGTTCTGTAGACTTTTTAAATCCTTTTTTCCTCTTACATCATGCTCGGTTACTACTATTAAGATTAAACAATCCTTTGCTTTATACAGACTGTTTGCTCACTGTATTTACCACAGGTCATATACTCCCCAATGGAAAAACCGTTGATATCATACCCACTCAGACTTGCTTGGACTTTCATGGCCAAAACATAGGATACTACAGTCTAGGGCCCAGGCTCTGAGAGGAAAACTCAGGAGTTGAACCCCAGGCAAGATCAAGACCAGACATCCAAGGAGGTGCACTTGGAGAGGCAGAAAAGGAAACCGATGAAACCAGCTATGACACACAATCACAAATTGTGGTTTGCTTTTTGTTTTAGCACACCTGAGGAGGGTGTAAAAATTGGCCAGGCACCACCTTGCTTCAGCATTAACTACAAAGACATCATGTAACTAGAGAAGTCAGGAGAAGCTGGATTCATTTCAGTGAGAGCATAACACAGCCAAATCAGGCGTAAGTATTAAAGTTCTCTAAATAAACCAGGTCAAAGCCAGCACTTGATCTCTCAGCTGCACCAGAGATCCTTTCATGGGTATCCTGTCACCAAGCTGGGACAGACATTACATGTTCAGGCTCTTCACAGCCACATGCTTCTTTTCATAAACCTTTGAATTTTTAGGGTGTTTTAGTAACTTCTAGCTGTTAAAGCAGCATCTTTGGCACCTTTGCACCCCATTTAAGTTATTGACTGCCTGCCTTATGGTAGGGCCTGTACAGCCCATTTCATCACTCTGCCCGATTTGCATTCCACGTGGTTTACCCTCCCTCTCACAGGACACATTTGCTCGTTAAGATCTGCAAGCCCCCTGGCTTCCCCCCAAGCAGGCAGTTACTTGGGTCCGGTGTAATGTCAAAAGTTCCTACCTTATAGGATAGTGATAGAAATGTAGCCGTGTTAGTCTGGGGTAGTTGTGATTTGTCCTTTTCATATTTGTTCATTTTTTTAATTGTATCCTTTGGTATATATGGTTGTGACTACTTTCTTCCACTATTTGATCTGAGGAAGTGGGTCTGGCCCACGAAAGCTCATCATCTAATAAACCATCTTGTTAGTCTTTAAAGTGCTACATTGTCCTGCATTTTACCTTATAGGACGGTGCTACAAGTAGCATTTCTTATTGGCACGATCGTAAGGAAGTGCTACTGTAGGAAACAGCTGCTAGCGGCAGCACAATTCTACAGGGAGCTGTTCCCGCCCAGGCCATTTATGGGGCCCGCGGGCTGGGCTCCCTAAACACAAACCTACAGCGTGCGAAGTAAAATCTGGCGCTGCTGCTCCCCTCGGCCATACCCGAGCCCGCCAGCGCCACAGCCGTTATGCGTCTGCAAACGGTTCGAGCCTCCGCGCCAAACCGTCACAACGCGTCGCTTCCCCGCCCCTGGCAGCGCAGCGTCAAAAAATCCCCGAGATCGAAGCCGCCTCGCGCGCCCTGCCTGCGGGGGTGTCAGAAACCGTCAACCGAACCCTCCGCGGAGAGCGCGCGCGCACGCCGGCCGGCCGCCCCCCCTCCGCTCGGGTCTCGCTCCTTCTTGGTTCAGGCCGCAGTTTCCTATCGGCTTCACAGGGGGCGCCGCGGGAGCTGCTGACGTCAGAGCTCGCGCCGCGCTGGGTCGTGGGCGGTTTGTTGCCACAGCTGTCATGGGATGGGCCGGGGCGGGGCGAAGCAGGAGCCTCTAGCGGGCGGGTGAGGCCAGCAAGCCCGATGCAAAGTGCGGGGGGTCCAGGCGATGGGCAAGTGGCGGGAGGTCGGAGAGTGAGCACCGCGGGCACCCAGACCGATAGCGTGTCAGGTGAGCGCCCCTCCCCCTGGAACCACTTGTCCTCAGACCCACAGCGTCCCCAGGTGAGAGCTTCTCGGTTCTGGAGCCCCCACCTCTTCCCCTGGTATCCGGGCTGACGGATGGGAGGGGGCCCATCTCCCCCACTGCCTGTTCTTTCTGCCCGTGCAAACCCTGGGAACTGACCAACAAGCTTGTTTCCCCTGCTGTTGAGTGACACTGACGTGGGGGTTAGTGCTCGCTTGTTACTTCCCGGATGACATTTTATGATGCCGCAAAGGTTGACCTTTATCCATTCCCAAGACTGACAGCTAACTAGGAACTGCCCTTTGACACTGCTTTTGCTGAGGCTTGTAGTGGAGATGGGATCAGCCTCCCCAGGATTATCTGGGAGGAAGATGGTACTTTGATACACCTGCAAAGTTCTCTTCTAAGAAATATACATAGACAGCGGTAAAAACAAAAAAAAAGGGGGGGGGGGAGGCTGGTTTTTAAAATCTGATCTTCTGCAGTTGACACTAACTTCAAAAACTCCAGTCATCTGAAGAAGTGGGGTTTGCCCACAAAAGCTTATGAGACCATCTACATGGCTTGTTAGTCTTTAAAGTGCTACCAGACTATTCCTTGTTTTTTAATTTTTCCATAACTTCAAAGCACCTCTGAAAATCAGGTCATGATATACTTTTTAAGGTCCACCTTAGCAAGTGTTTGGAGTTTCCTTTCAAACATATAATACAAGCTATCCATTGTGATGCATGCTTTTGTTTCCATCCATCCATAAAGACTATATACATTCTGGATATAGGAAGGCTGTGATATTCATGGATGCAGAAGAAATATAGATTAATGGGATAAACACTACAAGCCAAAAGTACAAGAAGAGTAGACCTGTTTTACTGTTTCATTTTTCTTTAGAAAATGTGAGCAATTTTCTCACTTTTTTGCTGTAATGTGCACATACTACTTCTGTTTGCATTAATTCTAATCATCTGTGATGCTATTTGTGATTCTTCTGAGGAGAGACCTCTGTAATTATAAACTGTTGTTTTAAAATGACATTTTAAAGCGTGTTGTATGTAAATATATTTCTTCACCTTCTTTACTATTTGGCTGTGTCTACACTGGCGCCATCTTGCGCAAAAGCATCCGCTCTTGCACAAAAACTTGCTGCCTGTCTACACTGGCCGTGTGTTCTTGCACAAGTAAACTGATGTTCTAATGTATGAAATTAGGGCTTCTTGCACCAGAACTCTGACGCTCCCGCTCGGGAATAAGCCCTTTTGCGCAGCTGTTCTTGCGCAAGAGGCCGGTGTAGACAGGCAACATGAATTTCTTGCGCAAGAAAGCCCTACGGTTAAAATGGCCATCAGAGCTTTCTTGCGCAAAAGCACATACCAGTGTAGACGCTCTCTTGCGCAACTACTTTAACGCAAGAACTCTTGTGCTAAAGAGTTTTTGCGCAAGATCACGCCAGTGTAGACGTAGTTTGTGTCTCAATCTGGGTTCACGTAACAGCATCTATTGCTCCAGTATCCAGATACCCCCAGCTATAATCAACATCAAACTAGATCTCTGATCTAATTGTCCTACCCACTTTTCTCTCTTGTGTCCCTCCTTGCTTTCACTTTTTTCCTCTTCCTTCCTGTAGGTGTAAAAAAGATGAGAGAAAAGATTGAGCCTTGTGGGACTTCACAGGTGACTGCTTTGAAGTGTAGAGAAGCATTTACTCATCACAGCTCTCCAGGCATCCCTAAAGGAGGGAATGGAGACATATCAGAGCTGTTTGTCTCTGAGGCAAAATAGTAGTATGCTGTGCCAACTATGTAAATGCCACAGACAGTCGCAAGACATCCTCCTATCTGTGTATAGAAGGAGGTCATCCATCAGTATTACAAGTACTATATGTTCCTGGATAAGCTTAAAAAAACACAAATACCGTAATTGAGCAAATATAACCCGCAGGTTATATTCGTTTTTACAAACCCTGCACCGCCCCCTCCGTGGGGTATATTCGAGTGCGGGGTATATAGGGTTTTTTTTATTCACCAGCGACTCTCTGGGCGGTGAGCGCTCCCCTGCCCGGAGGCTGGTGGTTCCTGTGGCTGCTCAGGAACAGGGCGGTGAGTGCTCCCCCGCCCGGAGGATAATGGTTCCTGCTCCCCTGCCCCTTCCTGTGGCTGCAGCGGAACCAGGGGGATAAGCACTCCCCCACTCGGAGGCTGGCGGCTGCGCAGGAACCGGGGCGGTGAGTGGCTGGCTAATTCCCCCCCTCACACAGCCCACCCCCCGCACACCGTAAATTAGAAAATATACCCCCAGCAAACATACCCCCAGCAAAGAAAAGTCTTGTAAACCCCGCGGGTTATACTCGTGCGCGGAGTATACACGATTTTTTTTACTCAAACAGCAAAAACCGCAGGGTATATTCAGGTGTGGAGTATATTCGCTAAAAGACGGTAGTCTAGTAGTACTTTAAAGACTAACAAAACAAGGCACCGCATTCAGCCATACGGAGTGGAAATCCATCATGTTTTGTTAGTCTTTAAAGTGCTACCAGACTATTTGTTGTTTTAAGTTTATCCTGTACAGATTAACTCTGCTACCCTCTGAAGCTATATGTTCCTGGATATTGAATAGAAGGAGACCAGACTAGTGGTATGGATAGGTGTGTTTGGAGATGGTTCTTCTCTAATTTCATGGTTATCTTGATCAGAAATGGAATATTTCACACCAGGCTGAAGTTTATAATACCTGCTGGATCCAAAAATAGTTTCTTGAGAGTTGACCACCAAAGTGTGTGGTGCATTTTACTAGTTTCATTGGTGGTGGTGATGGTAACAGTCTGTTAGTAAAGTTGCTATGTGCTCCTAGATCTCTTTCACTACCTTTTAAAGATGTGTCTGACAAGCAAGCGGTGACTCAGATTTCTTTCAGCATGCTTAACAAGGTCCTTTGTGTGCCTTTCAATGGGACTCATTGTGTTGTTTGTTCTCTCCCTCCACAAAGTAGAATGACTTCTGTAAAAAGTATGTTACCAGTTCCTCATATTATGCAGAGCCAAGATGACAAAGCAATTGCTCCAGAAAAGTTCTGTGTAGATGCAAAAGATCCACTAGGCTTTACCATGGCTGGTGTAGAATTTAGAGATGTAAGCGACTAGTCAGCTAGCCAATAAGCATATGCTTATCAAATAGTCAACTGGACTAAGTCGCTTCCCCCAGCCCTTGCTGCCTCTACCAGACAGAGGCAGCAAGGGGGAGGAGCAAGAGCCATCTTCGCTGGCGTAGGTAGCAGGGGCACAATGGGGAGCTGGCGGTACTTCTGCCTTTGAAATGTAGCAAGAACCAGCAGGACTCTTGCTACATTTCAAAGGCAGAGGTGCCCTTATCAACGAATCAAATAGTTGATTAATCTAAATTTAACATCCATAGTAGAATCTCTAGGAAATTTTTGTGGTTTGCTTTTATCTAATCATATTTCCTGCCAACGTGTGTTTCTTTTTGTTGTTGTTGTTTGTTTCATTTGATGGAAATACCAGAAAAGTATGATGATTTTTGGGGAGAAGTGAATTTAGACACTAATATTGATAGTAGCCAATGTGTGATTATAATGTCACACTAGCTCTTCCATTGTTTGGCCTATAGGACTGGGCAAAGTTTTTGTGGTAGATGCTTGGAATAATATTTAGGAAATTAAAAGTGTGAAGGAATTCTTTATTTTAAATACATCACAATATTTACTTATTACTTTCTTTTCAGTTTTGGTAATAAAATTAGGTAAAATTGCTCCCTTTCTCGTTTTTACTTCCTAGATCATACTGTTGCAATGTTCGGATTTTAAATTGTGAATATTTATTTAACTTTTTTGTTATTACACTTTATATAAAATAAACTCTATTGTATTTGATTTACATGTGTGTACATTTAGAAACATTATATATTGAGTGCATAGCAGTGTAAAATAGCGTACCATATTTTTTATAGAGGAAACATCAATATTAGCCATCGGCTTTATAAATACTTGTTTTTACAAAATTTAATTTGGGGGGCAACTTTAACTTGAAAATGGCGCTTTAAGCTACACTAATCTCCAGTATGTATTAAGCCAGGTATTCCAACTTTCTGCACCTACACTATAGAACACCAGTGATGTCTTAGTCATTAAAGAAACATTTAATGATTAAAACAGTTAACATTTATCAGTTAATATTTCTTTTTTTTCTGATGGTAGGTCAAACACCAAGGCTTTCCAAAGTCAACCTTTTTACTTTGTTCATTTTCTACAAAAGAAATCACAGGTAAAATGTATTACATGCAGTTTAATAGCCCTTCTGGAATAGGTACTAACTTTTAGACTGTGAATACAATTAACCAGACTGTGCATTATCACGTACACATATAATAAATATTTTGCAGGTACTTTTGTATTGGTCACATTTCTGACTATTTTTTCTGTAGTAAATGGCCGGAAGAATGAAAGCAGAACATGAGAGCAAAAATTTAAGAATGCAATTTATTTACCTTCTTAACTTAAATGTAGTTACATATTTTTGTTTGTATAAGAATCTTGTTAAAACAATGGGATTATTGTAAATAATCTTCAGTCTAAAACAGTGTTTTTTCAAGTTGTTTGCGGATCCACTCTGAGAAACCTGCTAACTGGCTACTCCCGTTTATTTACCGGGTCCGCAGCCACAGATACTCATGGCTCCCATTGGCTCTCGTTCACCATTTGCAGCCAACGGGAGCCATGGGAAGTGGCTTACGGGAAGCAGCCTGAGCCGAGCCATCACTTCCCGCAACTCCACTTGGCTCAAATGTTGAACCAGAGCCAATGGGAGCCACGCCTGCAGTGCCAGTAAATAAACAACTGGGAGTGGCCAGTTAGCAGGTTTCTCAAAGTGGATCCATGGACCACTTAGAGAAACACTGGTCTAAGGTACTATAGATGCTATAGCAGAAAAGAATTGAGATGCTGCAAAAGATAGCTAAGTCCAATCAGCAACATAGAATCGCTGTAAGTAACTCTGGTCATATAATATCAAAAAAAGTCTGGTATTTGCTGACATATTAGAAAGATACAAATGTGGTTAGAATGTGGCAGAATGGTATTCTATAATTTAAAAATGGGGCTGTAACCCTAAAACTAGAGGTCCCATGTATTTTTCAGCAAATGCTACAATATGATGGTTTCTTGAACTTGGTAAGATGGTATTAGGCAAACACTAATGTAGTGGTATTGTAATTGCTACTGGGTAGATTTGAACCTGGGATCTCTGAAGTTTAGTATAAGAGCCACTACAGCTTGAGCTATAAAGCCAGCTGGCTGTTAGCCTAGGTTGTAGAGGTCTCTTGATCTTATCTGTTGCTGTGGTCTAGGTGCCACTGTATGGAACGGTGAACCACACTAGGTACGTGGGTTACATTATGGCAAATTTTAGAAAAGTGTTACAATGTTGTATGGAGTAGGGATGTAATAGTGTAGTCAGTTAACCAATAAGCAAAAGCTTATAGGGTAATTCTAGAGACTACATGCATTTCTCCCCTTTCCCATGTAAATTTTTAACCTGGCTCAGTGCTGGCTTGCAATGGAACCGGGACCTATCTCTGTTGAGGCTCTGCATTTAAAGTGTATTAGGAGCTATACTGGCAGGCAACCTGGCTCAATTCTGGTTCATTCCGGGTCCAGGAGCACAGACCCCTCCCAACCCCAGGCAGGGACTGCTACCGCCCTGCACTATTGCCTCTGTATCAGAGGCAGCAGCATGGGGCGACAGGCAGCTAGTCCATAAGAGGAGTTGGTTTTTAAACTAGCTCCTCTTGCAGACCAGCTCCCTCCTGGCACCCCACACTACTGTCTCTGATACTGCTGGCCCCGCCCTTGGGTACTATAGAGTGGACTAACCGATAAGAATTCATGAGGTTACTTGACGATTCAATTAACCGATATTTAACATCCCTAGTATGGAGCCTACATACCAACAAATGATGTGAAGATAAGTCTTAATGTACTCCTCTGGTCTAATGCCAATACTTTACTTAAATGTAAATGTTGTTTGTTCATTTAAACTGATTTTGCAAAATGCCTTGTTTCCTCGTCAATCTGAAAATAGAAAACAAAGCAGTAAAATAAACTAGAACAGAAAAATGAGGATAAAATAATAAATTAGTAATAACTAGAAATTTGACCCAAGCCACAAATATAGGCTTCAGATTTTTACAGAATTGCTGTCCTAGAGTATTCAAACCAACTCTTCTGATTCTGCCTATGATAGAGAATACAGGCCTTATGAAACTTCAAATTTAGTCAAAGTGTTCAGGGCAGGGCAAGTGGTAACCAGCTAGATGGGGCTGTACAAAAATACATCTTTATCACTAACAATGGAATTTCTTCATAAATCTTAAGCAAAAAGTTCTCACTCTTAATAGCTGTAACACCACGATGGTCATTATTAGAAAAATCTCATTGGGGTAGGCTGTCTGTTTTTCCACAAACACGGATAATCCAGATGAAGCAAATGTTGCCTTCTATGCACAAAGGGAGGATTTGACTTCCTGATTCCCAGGCAGCCTCTGTGAAGATTAGGCTCTGCGGATAAGGAGAGGCAGAACTAATGTTGGAAGTTCAGATGTTCCATCATAACTTCATCCTCAGTCCTGGGAGAACAGATAGGAGTGCTGAACTCCTCAGCATTCATACATGGAGGGTTCAGTGTACAACAGAAAGGATTCAAGAATGTAGGCAGTGACTAGGATTAGAGACTGTAATCTGACCTTTCCACACAAATCCCTTGGGATTTGGTTTTAGCATCTCTGCTGGAAGGGGAGGGAAACAAATCTCAATCAGATGGAATTATTCAAAAGAGACTGACTGGAAATTTGTGGGATGTCACATCCTCCATGTGGATTTTCAGGGGGATAATCTGTTCCAGAAAAAGACAGTAAGATTCAATGTGCTTTGACTGGAAGTTTGATACGGAACCTGTTAGACTACTAAAATGACTAAAAAAGATAAGCATGTACACCCAAGGCTATAATGAATGTCACTCCCTAAAGCAAATGTAACCAAGAGATATATCTGCCTATTAAACTCTGGGAGACCAGGTGGGTGAGGTAATTTTTTTTTAATTGGACCAACAGCTCTTGATGAGAGACTAGCTTTCAACCTACACAGTGTCTCAGCTAAATAAAAGGTAAAACAGATTGCTTGTTTATATATAGAATAGAGAGAGGTAACTAGTGAGGTCCTCCAAGGGTCTGTCCTGGGACCAGTCTATTCAACTTATTTAGAAATAATCTAGAGAAAGGGATAAACAGCGAGGTGGCAAAATTTGCAGAGGATACCAAACTGCTCAAGATAGTTAAGACCAAAGCAGACTGTGAAGAACTTCAAAATGATCTCACCAAACTAAGTGATTGGGCAACAAAATGGCAAATGAAATTTAATGTTGATAAATGTAAAGTATGCACATTGGAAAAAATAATCCCAACTATATCAATATGATGGGGACTAATTTAGCTACAGCTACTCGAGAGAGATCTTAGAATCATTGTGGATATTTCTCTGAAAACATCCACTCAGTGTGCAGCAGCAGTCAAAAAGCAAACAGAATGTTAGGAATCATTTAAAAAGGGATAGAGAATAACAAAGAGAATATTTATTTCCTCTATATAAAACCATAGGTATACCCAGGGCTCGACAAATAATACAATCTACTTGCCACGGGCGAATAGATTGTAACCCGGAAGAGCCGGGTTTGGGCAATCTGCACATGTGCAGATTGCCGGACAGCACGGCTGGAGAGCGGGGCTCGCCGTGGTTCAGCGAGCCCTGGGTATGCCCACATAGTATTGTGTACAGATGTGGTCGCCTTATCTCAAAAAAGATATATTGGCATTGGAAAAGGTCCAGAAAAGGACAACAAAAATGAGGGGTTTGGAAAGGGTCCCATATGAAGAGAGATTTAAAAGACTTGGATTTTTCAGCTTAGAAAAGAGGAGACTAAGGGGGGATATAATAGAGGTCTATTAAATCACGACTGGTGTGGAAAAAGTGAATAAGGAAAAGTTATTTACTTGTTCCCATAGTGTAAGAACTAGGGGTCATCGAATGAAATTAATAGGTAACAGGTTTAAACCAAACACAAGGAAATTTGTCTTCACTCAGAGCACAATCAACTTGTAGAATTCCTTGCCAGAGGATGTTGTGAAGACTAGGACTTTAACAGGGTTCAAAAAAGAGCTAGATAGCCATTGATGGACCTAACCTCCATGAATTTATTAGCCAGGATGGGTAGGAATGGAGTCCCTAGTGTCTCTTTGTCTGGAAATGGATGACAGGAGAGGGATCACATGATGATTACCTGCTGTGTTCACTCCCTCTGGGGCATCTAGCATTGGCCACTGTCGGCAGACAGGATACTGAGCTAGATGGACCTTTGGTCTGACCCAGTGTGGCTGTTCTTATGAATTCTTATATTTAGCTGTGATGCTCTGCATATCTTTCCCAGACTTGAAGAAGAGCTCTGTGTATCTCGAAAGCTTTTCTTTTTCACCAATATAATTTGGGCCGATAAACCCACCTTGTCTCTCTAATATCCTGGGATCATGAAACACCTACTTTGATACTCACGGCATTACCATAGCCCAAAATGCAAAGAAGTACAGTGCTGCATGTAGACAAGTCCTGCTTCGTGGAACACAGTGAGTGAATTATGACATCATTATGAACTTTTTAATTTGTAACAAAAATGAATAATGTACTTTTTTATAGGTAAAGAAGACTGGCCTTGTCGTAGTGAAAAATATTAAAATTGTTGGTCTACATTGCTCCAGTGCAGACTTACATGCTGGCCAAATTGCTTTGATTAAACATGGATCAAGGCTTAAAAACTGTGATCTTTATTTTTCCAGAAAACCATGTTCAACTTGTTTAAAAATGATTGTAAATGGTAAGTTAAAGATTAGTGTGGAAAAGGTAAACTTGTTTATTTAGATGTTTTGCTACTTATGACTTATACAGAAAGTTCATACTCTCTTGGAATTGCCCCACTACTGTATTTAATTGTTTACCTGATTGGTTTCCATAGTAAGCCTTAATATTTTCATTAGGAGAAATCAGCATTTAATGTCTCTATTCTACAGTTGTTGAGTCAAGACGTGGATTTCTTCCCATTGAGCTGGTAGCCACTCAGTGTCACAACTACTTCTAAATGGCACTGTTGTGTTCATAACTTGGACATAAAACTAAGGTCTTTGACCACAGACATTCTCATGACATTTTGCAAGGATAGTAGTGTTAACTTGGGAGTTTCATCCCAGGTAACTACATTTTACTTGCCTACCTGTAATTTTACCAGAAGATCCAATTGTATGCTGAGTATTAACCTCAGCAAAGAGGAGTGACAGTCGGGGGTGGAACTCGGATCCAATTCTTGGAAATTCATTTTCCATTTAAAATGAAAACTAAGCCTACATCTACAAGTCTTCTTGTAGTCTTCTTGTGGAAAAGCTTATGCAAATGAAGCTCAGTGTGGAATATCGCATAATTAATGAGCAGCCATTTTGCGCAAGTGGCTTTTGCGCAAAAAAGAGCAGTGTAGATGGCTCCTTTTTATGCAAAAACCCCCTCTTGCACAAGAGCCATTCTTCCTCATTTTTTCAGGAAGAACGGCTCTTGCGCAAGCGGGGGTTTTTGTGCAAAAAGGAGCCATCTACATGGCTCCTTTTTGCGCAAAAGCCTCTTGCGCAAAAATGGCTGCTAGTTAATTATGCAAATAAAATTCGGTGATATTTCATACCGAGTTTCATTTGCATAAGCTTTTCTGCAAGAAGGCTACAGTGTAGACATAGCCTAAGTATATTTCACAAATCACATTCTTCATCTTTGTGTGGTAAAGACTGACTGCACTGTTCTTCAGCAATGTGCTCAGGTGGTACAAGACATAACACAAAAGAATCCCTGCCCTGAGGAGCTTCCATTCTAGTCAGCTTTACTCTATTGGAGGTGGTGCATTTTGGACTTTTTGTTGACACAACTGTAAAATCAAGTAGAAGCAAAATTTAGCTAATCTAAGACACACTAGCCCCTTGATTATGATATTTGCCAGCACGTGTGTTGCACATATACAGTTTAAGGAATAACCCACTCCTTGTTGAAGGGGTCAAAATACAGTATTCTATGGTAATATTTTGGAGTTAAGATAATGAAAAATGTGTTTTACACCAATGTTTGCACTTTTCCTTTTAATCTTATGTATCTTCTGTTCCAGCTGGAGTGAATAGAATTTCATATTGGCCTGCAGATCCTGAAATAAGCTTGCAGAATGAAGCCTCCAACCCTACCCATACTGAAGATGCAAAGCTGGATGCCAAAGCAGTAGAAAGATTGAAGTCAAATAGTCGAGCTCGTGTGTGTCTCTTGCTTCAGCCCTTAGTCTGTGATATGGTGCAGTTTGTAGAGGAAACCTCCCAAAAATGTGATTTCATTCAAAAAATTGCAAAAACTCTGTCTGAGTGTAACACTGATTTTTATGCTGAGTGTAGACAAGAAAGAATAAAAGAGTATGAAAGTTTATTCCTAATTTCAAATGAAGAAATGCACAAGCAAATTTTGATGACCATTGGTCTGGAGAACCTCTGTGAAAATCCATATTTTAGTAATCTTAGGCAAAATATGAAGGATCTTGTCCTGCTTTTGGCCACAGTAGCTGCCAGTGTCCCTACCTGTGGCCATTTTGGATTTTATTGTAATGAATCACAGCAAGCAAATGAAATGCGCCATCAAAGTTTGTCCCAAGAAATTGCAAGGCACTGTATGATACAAGCCAGATTACTGGCATACCGAACTGGTGAGTTGCTATGTAAATGGGAGAAATGCCAATCTTGTGGTAATCCTGGGACTAGAAGTTAGATGTTAAATTCCTGGCTGTGCCAAACACTTCCCATCTGACAATGAACAAGGTTCTTACCTGCTCTGTGCCTCAGTCCCTACATCTGTAAAATGTGGGTACCATGCAGAGCACCTCACAAGGGACACTTCATTAATGACTGCAAAGGATTTTGAGCACTTTAGAAGGAAAGAATGATCACAGTGCATTTATTATCCTACAGTAGTAAAGCCTTGACAGCCTCATCAGCCAGTGTGTGCACCCTCATCTCAAAAAATACAACAGTGTTATTTAATTTATTGGAGCCTTTGCAAAAAGCTTTTATATACAAACATTAAGTGTTTCCTGTTGATAAAGTAGGTGTTCAGTGGCAGTCAGTCTATATACTGAAATAGAAAATACTAGAGACTTTCTTCCATATCTGCTCTTTACCTACCGGTAGAATGCTAGTTATTTCTGTGTTACATTTTCCTGTTCCCATTGTTTAGTAATGATACTCCAGTTATCTAGTGTGTAATGATTGTTTCCCACTCTCAAAGATTCTGGAGTTTTGAAGAACAAAACCATTTTTTAGTAGAGGACAGACCCTGAATTAACTTGGTATCAAAAGTAGGCCAATTAAATAAGGTAGATTTGTACAAATTCCCTTATTAGAAATTTAAAATTGTGTTCGCTATTATGCAGAACTTTGAGGGGAAATATATACTCTACGTGGTATCCCATAGAAAGCTTAAATTCGACAATATTACTAATTTTTTGCTTCCTCCATATTGGTTAGTTATTGTGTTTTCCAGTGTTGTCTTTGCTTTTCCAGTCATAAATAGTGTAGGATTTGTTTGAAAAATCTATCCAAATTTTTTTAGACTGATATGTTTGAATACTGTAAAATAGGTCAAAAATAAGATTTTGTTCTATCAAAACAAGGTATAAGTACATCCCTCGCATTAATATATCTTTTTCCTTGGCCTGCTTATTTAAAGTCTGTATTATTGTATGTCACATTCCCTAGGAAATACCTGGCAATAAGAAACTTTTACATCCTGTCTTTTGTGAAGAGGTCTGATCACATTTAGCATCCTTTCTCTTTCCTCTCCCTGGCACCTATTGCATCATTAGTCCCCATCAGTCACTGATGTGATTAAAAACAGTAGTTCTGTAGCCCCTTAGAGTGCGTCTACACTGCACCATAGCTTGAAATAAAGTATGCAATTTGAGCTACACAAATTGCATATCTTATTTTGATCTTAATCTAAAATAGTTTATTTTGTAATTTGGCATTGTCTTCACAGTGCCAAATTTCAAAATAAATTGCTATTCTGAAACATTCCGTACTCCTTGTAGAATTAGTTTTACAAGGGATGTTGGAATAGAGAGCCCATTATATTTTGAAATAATGAGCTTGTTGTGAAGATGCGAGATTGCTATTTTGGGATACTTCGTTATCCCAAAATACCATTGCAGTGTATACGTAGCCTGAGAGACTAACAAATATATCAAATATGAGCTTTCATGGGTAAAACCCACTTCATCAGATGGGCTGAAGTAGAAATACCAAATCCAAGATGTAACTGCTTTTGCTGTTATATCTGTCAATTTGTAGGACCTGTGTTAATGACGTTAATTACGTAGGCTGGATGTGTCCCATTAATAGCTATCCCCCAATATCAAAAATTGGGGAAATTGGCTTTGTAGTATGTTAACCAGTTAATATATTTATCCAAGCCCAGGTTAACAGTGTCAAACTTGTAAATGAATTTCAGTTCACCAGTCTCCCTCTGTAATTGTGTGATAAGTTGAAATTGGGTTTGACTGTAGGACTAAACTCAGATGTTTGTTTTTCTGGAACAAAATGTTTTCCCCAGCTTTTGTTCCATAGGACAAGAGAGGAAGAAATAATGGAAGGCAGTGGGGTAGCTTATAGAGAGCCAACTACCAAGAGAGCTGCACACTGTAGTGCAGGGGTGGGCAATAATTTTAGACAGGGGCCCACTTCACTAATTTTTTAGTGAAGGGGTGGGACCTTTGGCAGAAGTGCCAGGGCCAGGACATGTCCATGCTCCCCCTCCCACAGACCCTGTTTGGCCTTGGAGTAGGGGAGCACATGAAGTCTTTGCTCCTGCCATCCCCCCACCTAGAGAGAACTGCTATCTGTTCCCTCTAGGCACCTGCCCCCTTTCAGGGCAGATGGAGACTTCACAAGCTGCCCCCAACCCCAGGCCAATCATGGCCTGGGGGCAGGAGGAGCGCACAAAGTCTCTTGCTTCCTGCTTCCACCCTGCAAGGGTCACGCAGTGATTGCAGATGGGGGTAGGGAGTGAAGACTTCATGTGCTTCTGCCTCCAGGACCTGATTGGCTTGGGGGCGGGGGAATGGCAGGGCATCCACAGGCCGGATCCACCCACTTGGCAGGCTGTATCCAGCCCACGGAGGCCCCTTTACCCACCCCTGCTGTAGTGTTTATTTTGTAGTGTGCGTGAGTTGGTACTAGATGATCTAAGTGATTCTGAGGTCCGAGAGAATGTTTCATGGACAAAGGGTGAAAGTAATATAAGAAAGGTTAAGTCATAAAACCTTTTGCATATGGATCCTTCATCTAGCCTCCTGTTCCTTGCCATTTGTGCACATAACATTGGCTTCAAGATGCACAAGCTATTAATTCTTCCTGGCATCATACACCATATGCCCTTAAATCCTCTACATTCTGCCACCTGCACAGTTGAGAGCCACAAAGCATACACTGTATGCATTGATATATTAGTGAAAGTCCTGGATATGGGAGCAACCATCAGAGGTTATTAGTGTTACATTAAATAAATGATATGCAAGAAGATCTGTGGAGGAGGAAATAGATTCCCTGGCTAGGACTATATAATTTTATAGAAAGGGTAAAACACTGTTTTCCCATGACCAAATACAGCACTGATGTGCAAGTGTGATGCCAGCCAAGTTAATAGGTGCTCCACCCACGTGGAGAAATTAGTTAATTATTTCTAGCCTCTCTTCCAGGGGATCAAACCAATTTCTGGTATTTGTTTGCAGTTGGGCCCAAGAAAAGTTTAGGAACTAGACAAAAGAGGAACTTTCTAATTATCCTCAAAGAAGTTTTTGTGCCTTCAGAACAGCAGACAGAATTCCTTCCAGAAATCTGTCCTTTCTTAATGTGACTCTCATGGCACTTTTGTAAAAGCAAAGGGACTCCAATCAACTCAGAGCAGTAAACAAAAATTGTCAGCTGATGATCAACTTTTGCTATACTCCAGCACTAATTTTTGAATTAACCAGCGACGTGCAGCTGTAATTACTTATAGTGGTATGAGCTTGGGATACTGTTCAATGTATGACCATCTATCTGCATGTTCCTCAATAACCATAATATAGGCAAATCTCTGAGCATGATAGGTACTAGCTAACTGGAACTCTCCTTTGCTATACCCAAGCAAATGTGGCATCAATGCCTCTTCTATCCTTTCAACCTGGTCTAGAGCCACAATGAAGACATTTCTTTAAATTACATGGTATGTATTTTTAAAGTTCCCACTTTAGCTCTCTCACCTCCCTCTGAAAAATTGTTTACTAAATTAAAATTCCAATTCTGTCTTGAGTTATAGTTGCAACTTTAAGTCAAGGGAAGATGCAGGGTGCTAAGCACATTGAAAACCAGACTATCTATTAAATGCCTAAACATACGTTTTGAAGCCTGACTTTATGCTTTTTGCAAATCATGTTCTTTGAAAGAGTGGTCATTTTGGAAAATTAGAAAGCAGGGTTGGCACAGAATAGAGAGAAAGGATCAAAATAAAGAGCAAATGCCAGGGTACATTGATGCAGCTTCATGTTCGCCTGGTGATGATCCAAGCCTGCGCTGCTTAACCCTTGGGACTCAATTTTAGACCAGAATATGCTGAGCACTTTATGAAATGGAGAGCATAATCCAAGCTATCTAAACAAAGGTGGTGGTTTGGGGTAAGGGAAGAATGTTTACAGACACAAATTATTCTTCTGTTTTCCTTTTAGAAGTGAAAATATTTGTTGGGATAAGTGTTTATTATATCCAAACTAGTTTATCCTGCTGAGGCCCTCACTGACATCCTAATCCCATGTTAATGGATATTGAAATAGAGTGGTAACATTAGTTATACCATGTGATAAAGAAAGGATATAAGTAAGGAGAATAATTCACACTTGTTATTATATAGAAATAACTAAGAAAAACATGTACATAATTTGTCAGATCTGGTAAAAACATTTCCTTGGCAGGAAAGCCCCTTCCCTCCCCCCGCAAAAGTGAGTGCTGAATTCTACAGTGAACTATTGGAACAGCACTGGTTGAAGTGTTTTGTACTGAAAGCTATAATCACTTCAGCGTTTTATTGCTATAGTGCACCCCATTTTTAATCAGTTAAAATGCCCATCAGAATAAATTGGAAGATTTCCAAGTAACTTAAATGAAAGTTCTGTTCAAATTCCTGTTTAGTGGGTAAGAGAGAGTCCACAAAATTCTCCTGTACTGGAGCTTGTTTCTGTACAAGACCATTAAAAAGTTTTGTGTTTAAAGAATTTTTGCTTTATTGAGTTCCTTTTAAAAAAAATTTCCACATGGCTCTGCACCATCAATTAACTCATTGGTGCTATGGGCTAGTTTCCCAACACAAAGTCCTTTGTTTTGTGTAAGGTGGCCAAAAACACTCACAAAACTCAGTGTCTCTGGGACACTATCTTCTTAGCATACATTGAGTATCTAATAATTATCAAAAGAGACCCAATGTTTATAATTCTCCACGCTGTAATTACATTACTGTATTTAATTAACTAGGCTGTGTCTACACTGGCACCCTTTTCCGTAAAAAGGATGCTAATGAGACACTTCGGAATTGCAAATTCCGCGGGGGATTTAAATATCCCCGCGGCATTTGCATGAACATGGCTGTCGCTTTTTTCCGGCTCGGGGTTTTGCCGGAGAAAAGCGCCAGTCTAGACAGGATCTTGCAGAAAATAAGCCCTTTTCCGGAAGATCCCTTATTCCTACTTTCAAGTAGGAATAAGGGATCTTCCGGAAAAGGGCTTATTTTCCGCAAGATCCCGTCTAGACTGGCGCTTTTCTCCGGCAAAACCCCGAGCCGGAAAAAAGCGGCAGCCATGTTCATGCAAATGCCGCGGGAGATATTTAAATCCGAAGTGTCTCATTAGCATCCCTTTTACAGAAAAGGGTGCCAGTGTAGACACAGCCCTAAGGTGTTGGGAGAAAGATACAAGCCTGAATCAGGAGGGCTGCATTCTGTTCCTGGGTTTATCATAGACTTGTATTTCTCTGGTACTTTTCTTAATATTTCTGTGTTTCATTTCCCTATTGGCAAATGGATGATACCTCCTAGATGTTCCCAAATCCAGCATTAATTAATTACTAGGCAATGCTTTCAGATTTCCAAATGGAAGTTTTCTACAAAAGTGCCAATTACTTATTACTTTTTATACATTTAATATTTTAGAGGATCACAAAACCGGTGTTGGAGCTGTTATTTGGGCAGAAGGAAAATCTGTAAGTATAGGGAAATTGTCCCTTTGTCTCTCACTGTAATTTTTCTCATCATTGGCTGTATTATTTTGTAAAAGAGAGACGTTTATGCATAATGTTATTTAAAATTGCATGTTTATATTCTCAGGTAACTCAATTTTGGCTGATAATTAGTCTGTCAGGTTGGATTAGTTTGATTGAGTTGGTAAATACCACAATGTTTGTGCCTAGCTTCTCATCTGTTAGACTCCATAGTAACAGCATTATGGTCATTACAGGTATCATAGCTACAAAGGTTAGACAGTACTACTAATCCAGCCCATGTGCAGTTCAACAATATCACTATTCAGTTCTCTCCTTGAGAAGTCAAAAGGCAACAGCTTAGCCATCAAATCCTTTTCAATGCAATTGTAGTGTTGTTCCAGACTGAACTTTTTGCAGCAAATGTCTTGTGAACTTACCTTATTTGGAGCATAGTGAAGTTTGAGGGAATGGAAAAATGCCAAAATAAGATATGCTAATGTGCATCTTACTGAACTATGCGGTTATGATGCAACAACAAATAATTATTTTGGTGCTGGATGTAGCAGCATGACAGGTCGTTTACTTCTGTAGGAAAAGATCTTAACTAATCATAGATATGCTATCTGCTATTTCTCTGCTTCAGCTTGCTTTTTTAGTTCTTGCGGCTGGCTCTCTGAGGCTACAGCTACACTGCTGGATTTTTGCGGAAGAGGACATGCAAATGGTGCTCTGATTTGCATATCTTCTTCCGATTCTTTTTGCGGAAGAGGTTTTGTTGATAAAAAGCCTCATGTAGACGGGGCCATTTGTTGGAAAAACCCACTTTTTCGCAAGATCCCTTATTCCTCAAAAATCGAGGTTTACAGGATCTTGCGAAAAAGGTTTTTTTTCTGACAAATGGCCCCGTCTACATGAGTCTTTTTATCAGCAAAACCTCTTCTGCAAAAAGAATCTGAAGATATGCAAATCAGAGCACCATTTGCAAATCCTCTTCCGCAAAAAAACGGCAGCGTAGCTGTAGCCTGAGGCTACGTCTACACTGCAACACTATTTTGAAATAACTAGCGCTATTCCAAAACAATTTAATCTCTATCTACACAGCAGGCAGTTATTTTGAAATAGTGTCAAAATACTGTCAAGCTGGAGGACTTCTTACTCCGACTTCTGTAACTCTCATTGTACGAGGAATAAGGAAAGTTGGAGGAAGAGTGCTCTATTTCGAAATAAGTGCTGTGTAGATGCTCCCTATTTCAAAATAAGCTATTTCGAAACAAGAAACACATTTGATGTAGCTCATTTTGTGTAGCTTATTTCGAAGTAAGCCCTACAGTGTAGATGCATCCTAAGAGAGCAGTACTTCTTGAGACCCACATCTATTCATTCATTAATCTGTAGAGCAAAGTAAGGACTTAGAACCTTAACTTGGTTCACAAAGCTATAGTCTCAGATTTTATGCGTTGGTTCCTCACATGGCAAACACTAGAAATAATTAAAATAGTATTATTCTCCTTTCCTTTTAGTGCCCTGGCATCATGGTTTTTTTTATTCTAGAGTTCATTTCATAGGGTTTGTTTTCCCATCTTTGATTACTCTTCATCTATTAAAAGAGGTAGTGAGTCCTCCTGAAAGTGCAAGATTGTTCTATAATTTATTTTCTAGCACCCAATTTGGATTGTTTCATTCTGGTCTTCAGATACGTATTGTGGTACCACTCTCTATTCTAATTTCAGCCACTAACTTCTTTCATACATCAATAGGTCTGCCATCTAATGGATCTCCATGCAGTGGCAAAATACAGGCGTTGACAGCATGAGCACACCATGTATCTTCCCTTTCCTGTTCTCACACATTGCAATATGGCTTAATGACTGAGCCATTCATACTTTTTGTTGCCCTACCAGTACTGCTTTCAGGGAGAAGCAGCCAGTGAGGATTTCTTACATAATGTGATCATCCAGTGCTTTTGATACATTCTCTTTATGAAACCCCCTTCCCTGCAACCACATGCACAATAGTGAAACATTCACTGCGGATGTTTAAAGAGGCTGTATATTAAATCAAACTTTATGGTTCACTTTGGCAGAGCTGTGATGGGACAGGAGCCATGTATTTTGTAGGCTGTGGTTATAATGCCTTTCCTGTTGGATCTGAATATGCTGATTTTCCACACATGGATGATAAACAAAAAGACAGAGAAATCAGAAAGTTCAGATACATCATACATGCTGAGCAGAACGCCTTAACATTCAGGTATGTGACTTTTAATATCCGAAAAAAGTAGCAGTTCAGAAATGAACAACTGATAAATGCAGAGCATTACATGATTATAAAGATGCTAACTTTTACATATTTAAATGTGATGTAAAATTTGAACATTCACTGGGAAAGTAAGTTCTGCAAATTCTTCAAAACTGTGAAGGACTTGATGCAAGCTATTTATTCTTGTATGAATGATGGGTACAATTAAAACTTAAGTCACCATCTCTGGTTCCTGTTGTAACTGAATTATTTTCTTGAAATGAAACACTGCAGAAGGCAAATGCTGAGTTTTTAACAAAGGTGTGTGTGTGTGTGTGTGTGTGTGTGTGTGTGTGTGTGAGAGAGAGAGAGAGAGAGAGTTTCAGATAGCAAATCCTAACTAAAGATGTCCTCTTGCTCCCACGTGCTTTAGTAGGAAAAACAATCCTACTCCAAAGAGCAGATTATTGCATGATTAACATAATTTCTTTGCTCACCCACATGAACCAAAATCTCCACCATTAGAAATTGTCAAGTTTTTAATTTCAGAAACTTTTTCTGGCTACTTATAGGTGTCAGGAAATAAAACCAGAAGAGAGAAGCATGATTTTTGTGACAAAATGTCCTTGTGATGAATGTGTGCCTTTAATCAAAGGTTCTGGCATCAAGCAAATCTATGCTGGAGATGTAGATGTTGGAAAGAAGAAAGCAGACATATCATACATGAAGTTTGGTGAACTTGAGGGAGTTTGCAAATTTACAGTAAGTGATAGAAACTATAGAATTTTTAAAAAAAAATCTTTACAAGTATATTAACACCTGCATTAACAGGAGTATTGTGAGCAAGACACAAGAAGTAATTCTTCTGCTTTTCTCTGTGCTGCTAGGCCTCAGTTGGAATATTGTGTCCCATTCTGGGCAGCACATTTCAAGAAAGATGTGGAGAAATTTGAGAGTGTCCAGAGAAGAGCAACAAGAATGATTAAAGGTCTAGCGAACATGAGCTCTGAGGGAAGACTGAAAGATTTGGGCTTGTTTAGTTTGCAAAGAAGACTAAGAGGGGACATGATAGCTGTTTTCAAGTATCTAAAAGGGTGTCACAAGGAAGAGGGAGAAAAATTGTTGTCCTTGGCCTCTGAGGATGGGACAAGAAGCAACGAGCTTAAACAACAGCATGGGAGGTTTAGGTTGGACATTAGGAAAAACTTCCTAACTGTCAGGGTGGTTAAACATTGGGTTAAATTGCCTCTGAAGGGTGTGGAATATCCATTTCTGGAGATATTTAAGAGCAGGTTAGAGAGACATCTATCAGGGATGGTCTAGACCGTGCTTGGTCCTGCCATGAGGGTAGGGGACTAGACTCAATGACCTCTCAAGGTCCCTTCCAGTTCTAGTGTTCTATGATTGTATGTAAGTGGTAAGAAGGCAAAGAAGTTCTATCATCATGTTGCCTAATCCTGCTCCAGCAGGATTCAAAGAGAAGATGGTAAAAATGTCTACACTGGTGTTTGTACCATTGCTGTGCTAGTGAGGGACCAGTGACAGAAAAAGTGGTAGTGTAGACAAAGCTTCTGGCACAGGGTTTTTTTTTTTTTTCAGTAGGAGCATTTTTCAGTTTAAAAGCCCATTTTTAAAATCCCTCCTATCATTGAAGATCCATTTGCAATGTAAATGCTCCCAGGTGCATCTGGGAGATTACAATGGGATCTTCCTAACAACATAAGGTCCCTTCTTCAACCATCCCCAAGAATCTGGGTTTTCTGCAACAATATCATGCATCACATGGAATAGATGTACAAAAGAAAAGTGGCTCTGTGGAATGCTCCCTGGTGCAGGCTTTGGAAGCCTGTTGAAAGAGACAGTGTATGGTACATACTCTGCAAGGTGCAAAGGCACAAGCCAAGGACAGAGCTGGGATGTCCACTCTCTAGGATATCTCCCTAAGCTTTCCATTAAATAAAATTTGCTAATTCAGTTGGTATCATAAACCATTCCCTTCATACACTGTGGTAGCTTTGAAGGTATTCACTGGAAGGTCCATTCAAGAACATAGCTCTTAAAGGAGTCACAGTGAGTAGGGTGAGAAGTGGATCTAGGAGCCTCTTCTGAGGTACTGTAGCTTGAAGGTGTTCAGTGTTGTGCATAATGGTACAACTCCCATTCCAGCAGGCAATGTGAAAGTTATGGCTTTAACAGAGTGATAGGGGTTTTTTTTCCTTTGAAAAGGGAAGGGTGTAAAGAAAGTAAACATTGCTTGTGGTTTCATAGTGTCAGAGGAGTTCACACCCTTAAAATGAAGTGATGTGCCAAACGTCCTCTTACTCCCAGTGTTTAATTTTTGTCCTCTAGAATAAATAAAACTTTTTTTTTCACAGTGGCAACTAAGCCCATCCCACATTGGTGTTCATGAGCCTACACCCAGAGAAAGTAAGTATTTGTAGTAACTGGTTGTGAGAAATTATATGCACTAAATGAACAGATTTTGAAAATAAACTAAATTCTGGCAAGGTTATAACTCATTTTTCAGATTCTGACAGAGACAACATACCTATTTAAACTTTCAACTAGATACTAGTGATGATATCACAATTATGTGTTCATTTAAAAAAATACCAAACCTTGCACACCCCATACACCATAAATCTCCTGTAGTGCTTTATCCAGACATGTAAGTTATCCATAGTATCCTAGTTTTAGCACTGATGAATCCATCCTAGTGGGAAGGTTTTTTAAAAGCCTCCAAGAGGCTTGGAACACAAATTCTGGTGAGTTTCAATGAGATATGAGTTCTGAAGTCACTTAGATGCTTTCTAAAATTAAACCCACTATCTACAGTTTCTAAATAAAAAAGGCACCAATAATTTTAATCACTTTTCTCCAGAAACTCCCATTTCCATTGCATTTAATGGCAATTGCTCCCCAGATCACTGAATATGAACTTCCCGTTCCTTCAGCTCCAAGCAGGTGGATGTGCTAAGCAAGCTGTCACTTTCTGACGACAGCGATAAGGTCACAGTGTCATTCTAAGGTCCTTTCTGCACTAGGGGAAATGACCCACTGTGACAAATTAACATCAACTGTAAGCCCTTGGAATGCCTCTGAATCAGGGCTGGAAATAGTATATAAGATCAAAATATTTGTAACGCCCAATGTAGAAGTCATTCTAGATATTTTGTTTCATTGAGTAAACTGGGAATACCTCGATGCAAAGTACTGAGTCTGCATAGTAGGAGTTTCACGGATTGTTTCTGGTCTGTGAGAGGTTACAGAGCACAGACTAAACTCCTGCACTCAGTGAGCTCCATGTGAAATTCGGGGTCAGTTCTGAAGGGCACTCTCTTCTTTGATTCTATGGTCAGGAATTCTGAGGGTATTTCATCAGATAAAACATGGGTATCCACTAACCACTGCGGAATGCTAATAACTCAACTGTTTTCAATCCCAGCAAAGGAAAGGTACATAAAGTCCCAGTGCTTGTCAACAGGTCATTTTCTAGATGATTATTTCTTTAAAGTGGTGCCCTTGAGTTTTTAACCAGCCCCATTCTGGGCCACTTGGTGTACTTACCTTATGATGGCTGTGCTTAAGTGGAGTATGTGTCTCCATCTGGGGAAAGGGGCTTCCTTTATTCTTACTGCAATTGAATGTGCTACCACTGTTTTTAGCCCAAAGTATGAGAATCCTGAAGTTCTGTGCACACACAACGCTGTGCCTGCTAGCAGTGTCTGTCCTAAAGAAGATTAAAGAGTTTGTTTAATTGATTGCCGTTTTAAACCCACTGAAATCTGTGAACAAATATTCATAGCTGGGAATGTGGTGAAGGCATTGACCTGTGCCTTTCCAAGTGACCTGGAGTGCATATGAACGAGGATCTGTTTAGGCCCTGGATCCAGAGTGAGACCCATGTGTTATAAGAAATAAAAAGGCAAGATTCCTATCACTGTGTGCTAATGACCATACAGTGTATGCAGATGCATTGCCAGCATTCTTTCAGTGTGCTAATAGCTATACAACTTTCAGTTACCTGATACTTTATATAGGTATCTCTTAGGACATGAGTCTGCTTAACTATTTTCAGAAACAAGGGGGCGAACTAATAACTTTTATTGGACCCACTTCAACATCTTGTCTCTTTAATATACTAGGACCAACACTGCTGCAACACTAACTCGCTCCTGATATGGTCACAAAATACATTTGAGTATTAAACATGTATTTAATATTCTCTTAAACCATCTTGTGTTTTAGATGGTGTACGGAAATCAAAGTCACTAGATGAACAGCAGCATCAGAACAAGAAACTCTGCCTTGGAAATCATTGAGCAACTAAGCACAAAACAAGAGAGGTCTCTGCAAATTCTCTATAGCACTTTTATAATCCAGCCTATTTGTGCTAGCAAATAAGAATGGATTTTATTTATTAATCGCTTGAAAGGAGATTTTTAGAGTAAGTTTATTTATGATATCTTAAATGTTTTGTAGCATTTTTATTTTAGATGTTTATGAAAGGAATTTCTGGAAAATGCTGCTGCTATTATATACAAAAGGAATTTGTTGGTGCCCACTAAGATTGCTTTGCTGGCTGGTCATTGTTAATAGAAATTCAGATCTGTGGACTGGAAAGTAGCTCAGTGTTCATAGGACAGAAGAATTTTTGAGAAGAAAAGCAAAATGGCATGTGGTTGGCTTTCAGGAATGGATTGCCATGCTTCTGGCAATCAAACAGCTCTGCAGAAACGATATGGTCCTATTGTTCAAGTACTCTGTGGAAATTCCACAGCATACAGGGTTTGCAGATAGTAACTGTAATTGTTACATTAAAGTAAGTTTCATTTTTGCTTTTCAGTCTTCTGGTGTAAAGGATATAAAGACATTGAATGTCCCAGCTAGATAAATGCCTCTCAGATAAACCTTTAAGGGTTTTTTTTGATAAATTTCTGCTTCATCTGCATGTCTGCTATCTACAGTAGCAGCAGGAGTTGCTGTTCTATGATGGCATTTTGTTGCATTCACTTTATTTGTTATGGATGCTTTTAAAATGTATCTCCGCTGGATACATATATGGAGATCAGTTTCTCACTGTTTAAAAAAATAGAGCTGACTGACCTCATATGTAACAGTCTGCACCTTATGTACAACATACTGGGATGCTCAGCTCTTACTCTCTCAATTTTTCCTATGTAGATTATTTGAAACCAGATTGAATTTACAAACTCATCTCACTAATGGCTCTGAGGTGACACTAGGTACAGATACCAAGTGATAGGTGTTTGCACTCTGTCAAAATACAAAGACATCCCCAATTTTTTCTTGGTCCGAGGTTAACCTCACCTTGCAGCCAAACTACATTTACTGGTTTTGAATAAGACTTGACAGACAGCTCATATAGATGTCCTAGGAATTCCTCTTCTTTCTCTCCCCCTGACAAGCTCCCAAGGGTAAACTCCTAAAACTTCTCCCTCTTCTATTGCTAGCAGGGTATACAAGTGGTTTCCACCAAAAAGTAATAGTAATACACTATCTAGTGGTTCCCCTTCCTCCTTGTTCCCCTGCAAACCCAGCAGGAGGGATGTTTCCCAGGGTGGGGGAAATCCATACTGGAGACTCTCTCCTGCACGATTGTGCTGATCATAACTAGACCCTAGGAGCAGCCTAGGAAAAATGTAACTTGTTACGAGATAATTTTCTCTCCCAGCAGTAGCACTATGATCGCCACTCTAGCTACACACACTATATCCTATAAAAACCATGGTGTGCTTTAAATAGCAATGAAACTTCAAAGCAAAGCAATGCATGCCAGCGATTTCAAAACTACTTATATCTGCTCTTTTCTGTTACTAGTTTCTAGCTGCCCTGGCAGTAGAATAGCGGGGGGGACAGTTGCTTCCGAGCGCCACACGAGGGGGGTGCCAATTTAGCTGCCTAAAGTTGACAACTGGACAGAGGAAGGAAGGACGGCACTAGGACCCTGAAGGCGCTGGCCGCTTTCACACCTGCAGGAAATCAAAGCTGAACATGAAGCGCCCTCCAGGGGCAATGCACAGGGAGGGAGTTCAGGCTGAGCATGCGCAGAACACAGCTGGTGCATAGGCCCCATCTGCGACTACAACCCCTGCAATCCCCTTCGCCGCCAGTCAGTCCGAGGCGCCACCCATTGGGCCACAGCATCCAGGTCCTCGCCTGCAGCCCACTCCTCAGAGAAACTGCAGCTGCCGATTGGCCAGAGGGCACATCAGTCTGGCAGGCGCTGGAGGGACAGGAAGGAGAGAGGTCTGGCTAGGAGTAGTTCTTTTTTTTATTTACGTTATTATTTTTGCTGATTTAGAAATAAATAACATATACATACTAACAAATGATTGGGAGTGCAAATTTTGCCTTTGCCCCATGGCGCATAACGCCCTTGTTACGCCATTGTGCCCTGGTGAACTGTAGAATATACAGGACTTTCAGCTTTCATTTTACCAACACTGGTGTCTGTAGATAGAATAATAAATTATTGGGTTTTTTAAAAAGTTAGCATGCTGGTAGACAGGGCTGACTGATCAGTAGATAGGTTACATGACAACTGTTTTCTAACTAATCTCCTATTGAGAGGCTTTTGTGTCATTGTTGGCAGAGGATTCCATGTTTTCATTTTCATAGTCTGTGGGTAATGTCTGCAGGTCTGGTTCTAGATGTTCAGACTCCCTGCCTGTGAATCCCAGGGTGCAATAAGTTGCTGTGATTCCTTATGGACTTGCAGTGCCTGCTTACTTCTAAATGCCTGGATGGACCTATGGTGTGGGTAGAGCAGAGCCTTTAGGAGAGCTATATTCCCTTATCTGGATGTGTGATTTGAGCCACAATAGGACTTCAGTGGAATAGCAGGAGCTGCTTTTTCCCTTCAGCCTGTTGAAATTTATTTAAAAAAAAAATTCTGGAAACAGTCTGATGCCATATGATGTAAGTGTGTTTTGGGTGGAGAACATTCTGCCACTAACATCTGTGTGTTGAGTAATGTCCATGTGATGCTGCGAGTGTTAGTGCTTTTCAGGGTTAAGGTGTTTACAGCCTCATTTCATCGGACCAGACTCTGCCAACCTTACTTGGTGAGTGATCCCATTGGAGCCAACTTCACTATATATAATGGTGGCAGAATCTAGGTCTTAATGAGAACTTTGCAAGGAAAAGGAAACCCATGACCTGAAATAACTTGGACTGTTACTGTGCCATTAACTGTATGCACTTCCATGCGTTACAGTAAACCAGAGGTCCTCCTCTTCTACCTGGCTTTGCACATATGGATTTCTGTGCCTGTGTCTAGCCCCTTTTGGCTTCAGGGGGCTTGTACAGATGTAGTTCAGCATTGGAGCTAAGTGAGGGCAGCAAAATTTGACCCCTAATGAAAATGTACAATGCTGTACTAAATATTCAGAGATCAGTAGCAGGCCAGTATTCCAGTGAAAACAGATTCTCTTTTAAACCGTGGAAAGTTTATTTTAAATTAGTCTTGGGACATTCTTTCCCTTTTTGACATTTTAAAATTAAGCTTAAGTATTCTTGTGTGTTAAAGGGACACTGTCAAGGTTAGTTAAAGTAAACAAAGAAATGTGAACTACCCTTTTCCCTAATCAGCTAGCTAATTTCATGTATTTTTTTCTGTAGCTAACAGTTTGATGTTCTTTTGGGTTTTATGCAGACTTCACATGTAGCTGAAGATTTGTTAGTAACCCTACAGTAATAAACTAGAATGTTCATGACATAACCCACATATTTTTCTAAGTGAACAAATTTTGTGTCTACCATTGAAGCAGCACTTATAAACTGCAAGGAACAAGGATGCCCAAGTAGCATGATGTTTAGCACTAATAAACAGAGAAAACACATTAAAAGATACACTTCTTTGGCAATTGTTTTAGAATACAACTTCAAATGAAGACTTGTCTGAATCATGTCTAAATCATTGTGGAATTGTACTTCATCGGTTCTTTTAAACTTTAAACTTTTTTGTAACAATTGTTCTTTTTAAAAAAGGGAATAATTTTTCAGTATTTACAGATTTTGTTGGGAAAAGGTTGGTAGTGAAATTTTATAATTGCTTTTAACACAGTGCATGGGGGGGGCTGTATTTCAGTAGTTTCAGATTATTGCTACAGCTCAGACTCACCTTTTGAAGTTTTCACATTTTTGAAGGGTCTGGTCTTGCACATGTAATACCATTAAAGTTCTGCACATAGGCCTGCCTCCTTATCTTGGTTTTACATTACAGTATATCCCCAGCTGCCTCTCAAATCATGGCCCATTTAGATGCTATGTACTTTACTGAAAGATGCAACGAACACGTTGATGTTCCTACAGCATTTACTTCAGCATGTATGCTAAAAATGTTCTGTCATCCTATGTAAAGATATTTTGTTTAAAAATGTTATTTTACATTTTATATTAAATTGTGACATTTCTATGTATTGAGGTTTGGGGCTTTTTTGATTCTTTCAGTTCATGTGAGAACAAGTCTATTGTAAATGTTAAATATCAGTAATGTCTCTATGATGTGATGAAAATTACTGAAATTATCATTCTTGGTGTCTGTCTTACAGCAATACATGTGTTTTGCTAATAAAATATATATATTGAAGTGTTTTCAGATGACTTTGGTTTATTAAGCACAGTATTAACGCTTCAAAGTAACACACACTTCTTTATTTGATAACTATAAAGCTCCATTAGTGAACTACTGTTCCTCCACAAAGCCTGGCTCTTGCCATCTTGTGGTTTGAGTAAGGCATTTATTGCATCAAATGATGGTGCTGACACAACTTAGTGATACAGGGGTGTGTGTGTGTATATATATTTTATAGACTGACATTTCCATCTCCTGAGGTATTAAAAATCTCCATTTCATTCTAGACATCACACCAGATAGCTTAAAAAGCTTTCCTCTGTTCCATCCTTTCTGATCAAGTGAGGTGACCTCCCTCATTCAGCATGTGCAGTCCACAGCTGTGATTAGGAAGAGCAAAATAATAGAAGCAGCATTGGCTTGATTGCCAAAGTGTGCTTTAATTAATCCATTAGGAAATTTTAAATTTTAAAAACCTATTTGTACAGCAAAACCCAGAAAGAACCAACCAAGAGACAAGTACCTGAGCCCTATATTTTTTATAGTTAAATATTCTTTCAGAGTTTAAGAATTTTATTTATAAATTAAAATATTGGTGTAGTCAGGAAGACTGTTGGTAAAAGGTGGATTCTTACATTAGGGCTTGTTTACACCACTGTGGCAACATAAAGTGGTCTTGAGGTGACTATACATCTAATGACACTGTCCTTTTACGCTACCAGAGTGGTTTAATGGGATGGTGTCCCTGGTCTCTGTTTGCCAGAAGCTGGGAATGAGCAACAGGTAATGGATCATTTGATGATTATCTGTTCTGTTCATTCCATCTGAAGCATCTGGCACTGGCCACAGGCAGAAGACAGAAAACACTGGGCTAGATGGACCTTTGATCTGACTCAGGATGACCATTACATTATTTTGTAAAGGAACTTAGCATCTGAGTCTCATTTACACTTTTTACCCTTCCTCCATCCTAACTCCTGCCCAGAATCCACTAGCATGGATGCTGTGTTCTAATACCATCGATCCAAAAAGAATGAGAAAAGGGAAGATCCCCTGAAATTCTAAGAGGTAAGTAACCCAGATGACTTTTTTTGGCCCATTGAAAATACTAATATACTCCTTTCATGACGTCTGTGTAGTCATATAACTGGGGGCAACCTTATTTGGCTGCACATATTTTTCTCTGAAGCACTATTGGCTGACCAATTTAACTGAGCTTCTTGGGCATCATCAGTTTCCCCAAACCTACTGAACTGTGTGTGTGCGCGCGCATGCCAGACTCCGTGTGTGTGCGCGCACGTGCATGTCAGA